AATATAGTGCAGTAAATTGACGCTTGAATATGTACATTTGATATTGTGGTTGGTAACATAATAGTACTGTTAAAATATAAGGTGTTGCTATAATTGTTTTAAGCTGCATAGTTCTAAAGCAGAACTCTCAAAGTTATAAGCCAGAATCCATGAAGTGACAAACATGAATCCATTAATTAATAGACCATGTAGTTATAAACCAGAATCCCTGTAGTAATAACTAGAATCTATTGAGTTATAAACCAGAATCCATATAGTTATAAACCAGAATCCATGTAGTCGTAACTAGAATCCATGTAGTTTTAAAACAGAATCCATGTAATACCTAGAATCTATGTAGATATAAACCAGAATCCATGTAGATATAAACCAGAATCCATGTAGTCATAACTAGAATCCATGTAGATATCAACCAGAATCATGTAGTTATAAACCAGAATCCATATAGTCATGACTAGAATCCATGTAGATATAAACCTGAATCCATGTAGATATAACCAGAATCCATGTAGTTATAAACCAGAACCCATATAGTCATGACTAGAATCCATGTAGATATAAACCTGAATCCATGTAGATATAAACTAGAATCCATGTAGTTATAAACCAGAATCCATGTAGTTATAAACCAGAATCCATGTAGTCATGACTAGAATCCATGAAGGCATGACTAGAATCCATGTAGTTATAAACCAGAATCCATGTAGTCATAACTAGAATCCATGTAGTTATAAACCAGAATCCATGTAGTCACTTTTCAACTGTTATTCCTGTGATCAAAGACTCAGTAGGATATGTTTCATATACAGTCCACTTGGAAACCTCCTGTGATATCATCTACTGATATATATGATATTATCTATATTAGTGAGTGAGTGAGTACGGTTTTACGCCGCTTTTAGCAATATTCCAGCAATATCACGGCAGGGTAGAATAGGTCTTCAGCAATCCATGCTTGCCGTAAGAGGCGACTATTCTTGTCAATTAGGCGGCCAACAGGATCAGGTGGTCAGGCTGGCTGACTTGGTTGATGCATGTCATTGTATCGCAACTGCGGGGATCAATGCTCATGATGTCAATCACTAGATTGTCTGGTGCAGACTTGATTATTTACAGATCGCCATCATATAACTGGAATATTGCAGAGTGCGACTTTCAACAAACAAACAAACAACATAGTTACCGGTAAGTACTTGTTTTCTTAAAACAAAGCCCATACTTCCACTGGAGTTGTTTTACTTGGAAGAACGAAATAGCTGTCAGCTTGTTGGCGTCAAAAGAATCTTGTGTTGCAAGTGAAAAATTGACATTACATTGGTCAAGTCTTACGTCCATGCTCTCTCTCATGTTACTCAACCGGGGCGGTCGGGTAGCCTAGTGGTTAAAGCGTTCGCTCGTCACGCCGAAAACCCGGGTTCGATTCCCGACATGGGTACAATGTGTGAAGCCCATTTCTGGTGTCCCCCGCCGTGATATTGCTGGAATATTGCTAAAAGCGGCGTAAAACCATACTCACTCGCACTGTTACTCAACCAAACATAACATCAGAATGCCTTGTCCTATATTCTGTTAAGTGAGTGAGTATGGGTTTACGCCGCTTTTAGCAACATTCCAGCAATATCACAGTAGGGGACACCAGAAATGGGCTTCACACAAGGTACCCATGTCGGGAATCGAACCGTTGTCTTCGACAGTACGAGCAAACCCTTTAACCACGAGGTTACCCGATCGCCCCCTATATTTTGTTAAGAGATGATATTGCAAGATCTCAACGTAACACAGGTTTAGTTTGACTTTTGGCTGTGGCAAAACCTGCAAAACGCAGGCATGGTGCTGAAAAACCAAGAACCATAAACATGACGAATCGGTCTTCCGAACTCATGATAATAGGTTTCTAGTCGTACAAGGGACAAAACTCATCACAGCAAGTTTGTCGGACTTAGATTACAAGGCCGACTCTGCCCTACAGAGACACGTGACATCGAATAAGTTTCTTTGTACAGCTGCAGACAAGTGGGATATTGTTCCTTTGTGTGGATATTCACGGATACATTCCTCGAACAAGGAAGCTGCCTAACATTTATACACATAAGATTGGTAGGTTGTTATTATGGTATTTGCATTTTGTTTTCCTTCATTTGCTGTAGCATTGGACAGATTCATTCTTGTATCTCTACGTCTTGGTTGGGAAATTCTTCAATGCGCAATATACGTTGTTTTCACAAGTCTTTTCCTTTGTAAGCGTGTATATATTACCGTCAATTGTAAAATGTGATTCTCTCAGGCAAGTTATAAAATGTGTAAATATTTCATTCAAATTTGACTGAAAAATCTGTCCAGATTGACTAAAATTGATTAAGACGATCAAAAGGGCCTAAAAACATCACAACAGATTATTATGTTGGATTAGAAGCCAAAGAACATAGAAATGCACTTTTCAACGTAACATTTTCAGTCTCTTGGTGATGACATATTAAACATCAACATGTTTGGAATTCGTTATCATAATAATACAGATGGAAATGTTTTTCAGTCACTTTGTAAAATAACTGAATATTGAGGCGTTTAATAAATTTTAAAATGTTACACATTTTTACTGTAAAAAAATATACACACTATAAAAAAGCAATGCTCAGGTGAAATATTTACGTTGTTTTGCAAGTAAAAATAGTGTAAACGAAAATCGCAAAATTACCAAGCAAGTGACTTATCAAAACTTCGTCACCATTACCGATGCTACCCACAAATATACCTACATTTCCTTATTATCTCGAAAACTGTATTTCATTTTGTTGATCAATGTGACCATACGCCCTTATTACTACCCATAAAAGTGACTAATGCGCTTACGAATGGCGCAGCAGAGGTCGCGAACTAGTCTAGATTTCTGCTATACATCCGGGTACTCACTGGGAAAAAACAATAACAAAGGCAACAACCAGTCCTGGGGAATTGCTTTAGATCAGTGCCCCTTTTATAAAATACATAAGGCTACAAACTAACATTATGGTTAAGCCCTTTGTCAAATACTTAGAAAATGATGGATATGTGACAAAGGGCTTAACCATGATGTTAGTTTGTAGCCTTATGTGGTACACTCACTGGGCTACAGATCTGAAGGTTGCAAGTTCGATCCTTGGGTATATAAAGAAAACATTTTGTCATTTGATTTTACATTTTATTAAATGTTACAATCTGAACGGAAGTTATATTAATAAAATACCCAGGACACTATATAAAATACCTGGGATATTATAACACATTATATAGCACATATGACTTGAATATCCTATAAAATTCCAGGGACATTACAACGTCCCTGTTTATGAGATTTAACCCGACTGGAGAACAATAGGATGACGTCACCGGAGGTTTATAAGTATATACAAGAGTTGGGTGTCTTTGAACAGTATTTCAGTCATGTCCTGTCAGCTATAAGTGGGAGAGAAAGTCCTCACCACTTCCCCATAACCCAGGAACATCAGTTTGGTTCAGACACACAGATCAATAAGTATCAAAACCTTGACCATGCCCTTGAGAGGAAAAAGGAGACAACTCCTTGCCAACCAGAAACCAGTGAACACTTATCACAACGCTGTTTTCACATCTAGCTGGACTGTGAATTATGTAAATGTTTAATGCGAAATTGGACGAAAAATAAGACAATATTTTGAAAAGTGTTCATTCTTTTTATCAATTGTTTATTTTATATTCTAAAGTAAACAAATGCTGGATGTATGTTAAATGATGTTTTTAATTTTGTACAAGTAACAAAATTTATTGGAACAAAATTGTGATGTGAAGGGAAAACGCGTCTTTCGTGTACTTTTGTGTTGTAAATTGTTATCATTGTGTCACAAGTATCCACTGGTCCTCTACAGATTTTGAGATGACCCCCATCTTAAACAACATGATGGGAATTATCCCTTGGCCACCGATGTCACCATCAGCTTGGTGGGAGGAAAGCCCAAAGTGATACATGTCTTAAACTAAAGAGGTTGGTTGGTTGGTTGGTTGGTTTGTTGTTTAACGCTGCACTCAGCAATATTCCAGCTATATGACTGCGGTCTGTAAATAATCGAGTCTCAACCAGACAATCCAGTGATTGATATCATGAGTATCGATCCACTCAATTAGGATCGATGACATGCTTCAACCATGTCAGCAAGCCTGACCACCCGATCCCGTTAGTTGCCTATTGCGACAAGCATAGTCGCCTTTTACAGCAAGCATGGGTTGCTGAAGACCTATTCTACCGCGGATCTTCACGGGTCCTAACTTAGTGAGTGAGTGAGTGAGTGAGTTGGGTTTAACGCCGCTTTTAACATTATTCCAGTTATATCGCGGCGTGTCAGCTTAATGTGGGAGGAAAGCCCGAAGTGATGCAGGTCTCAGACGTTTACCACTTCGGTGAAACCCACGAGCACGGGTATGGTGCTGACAAACCTAGAAACATAATCGGGGCGAACCGGGATTCGAACCCACAATCATAGGTTTCTGGCGTGCCCAAGGGACGCAACTCTGCACAGCGAATCGCGGCGCCTTAGACGACTGGGCCACCCGTGCCCCCCCTAACTTAGTGAAACATATGGACTAGGGAATGGTGCTGTAGGTTTTAGTATTCTGAACATGCCTGAGGGATGCAACTATGAAAAGCAAATATTCGGTGCCTAAGACACAACTTACACAACCTTGGACTTGTGCTCCTCAGTAAGTTGAAAAACTGAGGCTAGCTTGCCTTTATTGATGCAGTAGTCACTTAGAAAAGTGTTCCATGGGATGACCACTACAAGACAAACAAGCCATGACACAAGCTTATTTGCAATTAATAATTCAAAGTAACCGTAAATTGTACAGATTTTATACTTGTAAATGCAGGAATTATCTCTGAGTGAGTCCAGGCTGCATTGAACAGTATTTCAGTCATATCATGTCAGATTTCTGGCAAAGTAACATATATACAGTTGATGCAGAAAGGAAACCTCTAGAACCAACACCTGTAACTGATAAATTGATGAACAAAACAAGCTTGAAAGGCATTACATGTTTTTTTATTTTGTTGTTAAAGACATCTTCTGTTCTGGCGAGTAAACATATACAATTTGACAATAACGTTATGATACTGGTGCAGTACATGTGGACAAAGAATTACATTGTTTTTCCTGAGACATTGCTGTTGAGGTAAAACCAAGAATACTGCACAGAATATATGATAAAAGCCAACATAGCATCAAAATACAAAATCATACAAAATATTGATCATCTGAGCCCACAAACACCACCCTGAAGAGATAAGCTTTTTGAGGTTGGTTACCAATGAGTGAACATTGTTTTACACTGAAGCCAACAACACTCCATCTATACTGTGATGGCGTGTTAATACAGATGTCTGGCCAGACAAACCAGTGGTTGACAGCATGAGCAACGATCGGACAAGCCAACATGCGACAGGTCCAGCCCAAATCGCAATCAATCTATTCCCCACCTGGACCCTTCAAAATATCTCTATCAAATGTTGGGTAGTATATATTAGATGGTTCATCTATCATCAGCTGGTGAGCCGTGACGATCCAACCACTTCTGTATACATAGAACAGTGTTGTATTTAGACTGAGCTACAGCATCACGAGGGTGACACAGTACACGTTTCACTGACAAACTCAGCTGCACATCCATCGAAAATGACCTTTCAGTATCACTGCTAATGCTACATCTTCGTCTTTTTGAGAATGATGAAGGAGTTTCAAACTGATCCTCACATAACTCCTCAACCCTGTCTCTCATCTCATCATCAGAAGTGTGACAGAGAGAATGTTTTCTTTTGATTCTGTAGATGTTACATCTTCGTCTCTTGTTGCCACTCACGGTTTGAGATTCAGTCTGTGACAAGACAGGTGGATTCCATTCTTTGCAAGTGTTCACTGAGAAAAGATGTTCTTGGTGTGAGCTGGGGGTGGAGTGATCATCACATTCACTCTGCTCTCCAGAGGCGTCACCAGAGTCTGATTTACTGTCTGGTGACGACTCTGACACAGACACTGCGTCACACTTTGCTTCATAACAGCCACTTTCAACCACATCCTTGTTACGGTCATTCCCAGAGTCATCCAGACTCACATCTTTACGAAGGTCACTCTCACCTTCATGTGAGACATTCTCACTCAAAACTTTACCAAGGTTGCAATGCCCTTGTGTATCACTATCAAGACCTTTATGAAGGTTCTTCTCAACCAAGTCTGTATTACCAAAACTTACATCATCATAAAGGTCAGTTTCCTGAGCTTCATCTAAGTCACTCTCAGATGCAAAGCAATCTGTGACATCACCGCCACATGATGTCTCATATCCTGGAGAAGGTTCAGCTTTCAACATCTCTATGCATCTTTCCTTATGTACAACCTCTTTGCTTTCATTTGTCTCATCAACCATGTTATCAGTACCTCTCACTCCTCCTTGACAACCACCAGGTTGACCTACATCCAGCACCTGTGTGTCACCTCTCTGTTCTGACCTACCCTTCATATGTTGAAGGTACATAACATGACAAACTCCAAACCCCTGTGACTGCTGAACTTCTAGTTCATCCTCACTGCACAAACCTTCACCATCCGTCAAACCAATATCTGATTCTGTATTCTTTGGGCTGAAGTTTTCTTTTGCTACATCCCTTGCATCATTGAGTTTGTCTGTGTTCCCTGCCTCTGAAGTGGGTGCACAATTCTTGGCAGCACTGGTTCCAGAAGTGGAATCTGATATTTCTAGTTCTAATGATTGAAACTCTACACCTCTCGGTATGCTCTTCTTAAAACGAGGATTAGACCTTGATTTCCTAAGTCTTGGTTTTCTTGCCTGATGATGAAGATCAACATTAGCCATCTCATTCACGTGCACTTCTCTCATTCTTGAACTCCTTTGGTTACACTGTCCTTGACAATATTTATCAAATACAGACATATCTGCTCTGGATTTCAAAGAAACATTGAATGGTCCTTTAGAATCTCCATGAACGACTGGCACCACTGAAGCAGGTTTCAACTTGGATACAAACTCCACTAGTTCTCTGTAGGAACTGTGGTCAGAATATGGCACGACAAACACATTTTCTTGATTCACATACGGTTGTCCACCTATGCCAGTGTAGATAGAAGTAGGCAGGATTGCAAGGGTCTGTTTGATAGCATTCCATTTCTGCATCTTTCTCTTACAGATCATCTGGAAAGGTACAGTTCTGATCCTGCAGGTTGAATCCTGAACAAGGAACACTCTTGGTAGGTTAAGGATCTCGGTCATAACAAATGTATCTCCACTGACGGAGATCCATTCCTGGAGTTGTTCTGCCAACCACACCAGGAGATCCTCCTTGCCCAGCTTCCTCATGCCGATGACGATGTCATGATCGGGATGTTGTCTGATGATGTCCAGGATCTGTTCTCGGGCTTCTTCACGGGATGGGAACATGCATTCAGGGCTGCAGAAGGTGTTGTCCATGTAGAGGACGTCAATAGTTTCAATGTGAGGTGATAGGGGGCTTGTTTTGCAAAACATGGTGGGGTGGTATCTGTAATGTGAACATGATGCAAAATTATAATGTCAGCAAAAATGAAAACAGGCAACAACTGGTTTCTGTACTTAAATGATTAAAGCATATTACGAGTTACCGTCTTCCCGAGGCAAGAGAGTTAACTGACTTTAAAAGTCAAGTTTTCACCCTTAATGAACGAGGCTGGAATTACTGTGCTCGGTCGTAGCGCCACCAGTGGCTATTACCATTTATGTCTTCTCTAAGCCTCTCCTATGGACCAATCAGATTCAACCTCTCGTATCACTTGCGTTTGCTTCACACAAAATGGTGGCGCCCAGTCAGGACGATCTGATCGATAATCAAGATCTATATTGTGATAAAACAGGTCTTACATCACGAAATGCATCAAAATATGTGAGCACCTTGATTAAATACAAGATTTGGAAAATATCTGCTGACAACAAGTTGGCGGTGCACATGCTTTGCAAATCCTGAAATCGATCGAAATCTGCATGACAGTTTACAAACCGGATTTCGATTTCGGTGTGCGATTTTGATTGGACTATGCAAAGACTCGTTAGTCCAGCCAAAATGTAACTCCATAATACCAGCCTAGTTCGGCAAAGGTGGAAACTGGACTTTTATAGTCAGTTAACAATCTTGCCTCGGGGAGGATGATGAGTTACTGGGATATGTTGCAAATACCAAAATGGTGAGTGTGGTTTAATGCAGTTTTTAGCAATATTCCAGCATTATCACGGTAGTTGGCATCAGAAATGGGCTTCACACATTTCACAATGTGGGGAACGAAACTAAAGCAGCCATCTTCAATAGTTGCCATGCCCATCAGTATTCCACTATGAACTTTCTAAATTTTTCCATAATTTTTTTAACCTGATGTGGTGACTAACATCTATGCTGAGTTTTCGCAAACACGAGAGAAAAAAAATGTTTTTGTTATGTTATAGCTAAAACCAAACATGATGTGTTGAACTACTTCCATCATCAAGTAACACAAGGCTTTGGTTGGTTTGTTGTTTAACGCCACACTCAGCAAAATTCCAGCTATATGACAGCCGTCTGTAAATAATCGAGTCTGGACCAGACAATCCAGTGATTGAAATCATGAGCATCGATCCGTGCAATTGTGATCGATGACATGTATCGGCCAAGTCAGCGAACCTGACCACCCGATCCCGTTAGTCGCCTTTTACGGCAAGCATGGGTTGCTGAAGACCTATTCTAACCCGGGTCTTCACGGGTGAGTAACACAAGGCAATCTTGACTGATTACCTGAAATCCCCTGTATGTAGAATCTTTCCAAAAACTCCCTCAAACAAAAACATGGCTGCACCAGGGCAGTGGTTGGCATCGATGACTGTCACTGAAACTGTCTCCATTTCCCCACCGGTTGTGATCATGTGACATTCCCCCACCTCCAGAGGCCGTAGGTACTTGGGGTGAAGGCCATGTCGCTTCTCTAGCAACTGAGCAGTCACCTCTGTACAGTAGATTGGACGAGACCAGGAGGATGTCAAACCTACAATATGGTCCCCATGGAGATGGGTGAGAAAAAAGGTGAGATGTGAGGTAGGTTCTTTCCTAATCTTCCAAAAATCCACTGCAATGTCAGTCCCAGGGATGATACAGCCATTCATTGTGACTTGTCATTGTATTCACCTTATCCAGTTGGCAGTCTGTAAGATAAGAGAGTACCTTAGTTTACTTTCCTGAGAGAAATTAATATAGTTTCCATCAATACATAATCAACATAAAAAAGGCAGATATAATTGCTGGTGCATGGTGCCACTATTATATCAAATATATTTCAAGCTGTGATACATACATCCCTGGATTCATCATACATTTTAGAGTCAAATGACATTATATATGTCATTCTTCCAAATGGTCCAGACGAAATCAAGCAAAACAAGAGTTTGCCACTAACGGGGCTATATCCCCCCCCCCTGTTGCAGAATATATGACATAATTAAATCTAAACAAACCCTAACCTTTTCTAACCGAGGTGGAACTTGTCATGGAAATTGTAAAAAAAAGAAGAGTTTGGAACCTAAGTCCATCTAACAATGTCTAATTGCCAAGGAAATGTAAAAAATAAAAATTTCTAAAATTTCTAAATAGCATAAGGCACCAGCTCAGCATGTACTTGACAGACCTGCAAAGTTTCATGAAAAATATTGAACGGTTTCTGAGTTATGCTCGGGAAACGAAACAAGATGGACGGAGCCTGTTTCTATACCCCCCGCCAACTTTGTTGGGCGGAGGATAATAAATCAGGTGTGATAAGGAATGCTGTGCTCGGAAAACTGTACTTATTTGAAAACATAAACAATATTTCATATATGTAAAATTGATGCCTTACCATTGCATAGTTTCCAAACAAGTTGCACAATCAACCTATCTAGTTTTTTATCTATTGAAGACATAATTTACATGGTAATAACAGTCATTGTATGTTGTGTCTAATTTTGTTTTACAAATCGCTAATGCTCATACTTTGATTGAAAATTAGGTGAGATATATATCCTAATCAATATATGAATGTCGTCTTTCTTCGACATTGCCAAAGACATAAACAAGCAATGACATCAAACAAAACTGTGTGATATATTCAGTAATTTATTAAAGGGGTCGAGGGGCCCCCAATAATTAATCTTAAGGGTCCTTACAGAAAATATGCAGTCCCTGTAAAGTAGTGAGTGAGTGAGTGAGTATGGTTTTAGGCCGCTTTTAGCAATATTCCAGCAATATCACGGCGGGGGACAGCAGAAATGGGCTTCACACATTGTACCCATGTTGGGATTCGAACCCGGGTCTTTGGCGTGACGAGCGAACGCTTTAACCACTAGGCTACCTGACTGCCCCTTTTGGGGATGTAAGATTAGATATTTACTTTAACTAGATGACCGCTCTATTTCTAGTTACGAATTTAGTAAAATGAACAACACTGTGTAACCCACGGGATGCAATACTGTAAATCTTGAAATTAATGTGAGAGTGAATTAAATGTGAAAAATGTGAGTGTTCTTTGTTCGCATTAATGAAACTTCACATTTATGTCTCCAAAATGACTATCAACAATAAGACGGCCTCACTGCACACTTTGGATAGCAGAAATACCAACTTGAATATCAACAACAACACAGTATATTAAGCAGCAGTTGCAAGTCCATAACAATATAAATTAAAGAACAGGAATTACACAATAGGCATCCAGTGAGTTATCGCTGCTGGGGTCAAGAGTTCTACCCATTCGTGTCAAACTAGGCATCATTGACCACAGTTGTTGTTGGTTCAATCATTTTATTTTGCCTTTGAACTTCCTTAATGCCAGTCAACAGAATAAACATATAAACTGAGTGTTGTTTTTAGTGAGTGAGTGAGTGAGTGAGTGAGTGAGTATGGTTTTACGCCGCTTTTAGCAATATTCCAGCAATATCACGGCGGGGGACACCAGAAATGGGCTTCACACATTGTACCTGTTGTTTTTAGGAAAACACTGTTTATTGTTATTACGGGAGTGCTAATAAGCGATGCTATTTGTTGTTTGATTGGATAAGGATACATATCATTCAACTGGGGATGGGGTGGGGGTGGGGGTGGGGTTGGAGGGATTCACATTTTTGGCTTGGAGTCAGCAGTCGTATTAATTTGGAGATGCATTAATTTCAAGATTTACACTATATATTTTTCGATAACCATTATATACATTTGTGCATAGTGGACACCGAATTTGCGTCATGAAAAACCCTGCTACATATGACGTCTCTATAATAATCTTGGACGCGACGTTAAACCCCATTTCACCTCACCTTTACTGTTACATATGATAAGGTTAGTGTGTGCAACACTAGTCAAATGACACTTATACAATTAGGTGAATGTTGGAATGTAAGGAATAACATACAGGTTAGACAGGGCCATCCAGTTTACTACTACTTCCTTTTAATGTAGTACGCTTTCATCGTTTCATGATTTGTGATACCGTATTTGACGTAATAAGCGCCCCACTCTAATAAGCGCCCATGACGACATTTGCTAAGATATCGGCTATTGAACAATCCCAATCAGAACCCCTTCCGAGTGATCAATTTACACAAGACTTATTTTTTCGCGTATAATATGCACTTGTGTGGTTTATGCACCCTTAATTATGGGCATTTAATTCTGGAAAAATATATCTGTTGTACATAAACATTTCAGGCTGTCGGCATAAACCACAAAATTTATCTTTCAACTCTGTTTTTTCCACCAAAATAACATTCTAATAAGAGCCCCCTATTTCTTATTTTGAGAGCGCTCTGCGCGCTTATTACGTCGAATACGGTAATACAAAATGTTTATAGATTCAATATCGTTATTTCTGTTGGCATCGCTTGGTTCCTTGAGAACAAAATGATATGAAAATATATTGTCCTTATCCACAGCAAATTCACACCAAGTTAGCTGTGTCACAATGGCCTGTGTCACAATAGTGGAGTTATGCTCCCTTTTTTGGGCATGTGTATTACCTTACATCCAAGAGGTTGATCAATTTTCTTCAATAATTTATAAAGCAAGCTATTTTTTATTAAACGTATAAAAGTTTATCATATCATGGGTAGGTTTCTCGGCAGGATAAAGCCAACGGATAAAAACAATATCCGTTGGGGTCATATGCGGATAGTGAGTGAGTGAGTTGGGTTTAATGCCGCTTTTAACAGTATTCCAGTCATATCACAGCGTGTCAGCTTAATGTTGGAGGAAAGCTCGAAGTGATGCATGTCTCAGACTTTTACCACTTCGGTGAAACCCACTAGCATGGGTATGGTGCTGACAAACCTAGAAACATAATCGGGGCGAACTGGGATTCGAACCCACAATCATATGTTTCTGGCGTGCCGAAGGGACGCAACTCTGCACAGCGAATCGCACGCCTTAGACGACTGGGCCACCCGTGCCCCCCATATGCGGATAGAGATGCAAATATCAAAGGTCAAGTAGGGACTACTTTCAGTGTTTTTAAACAAACATGGCGTCGCACTTGTCATTCGGCGATCGAGTCAGAATTTACCATCGGGAATCTGGATAAACTACAGGCATAATTGCTACCATATTATCAAAAGAACAGTCTAATATACTGAAAATCAGTGTCTAACTGTGACGTAGCTAAGGCATTTTATAAGTTTTGGCAACTTTGGAGATATAAAATTCAAAACAAATTTTCCGAGGGCACTAGGCCTAGCCAAGCGGGATCAGTAGCCATATCTGTGCTTTGTAGGCCTCTGCGGCTTAAAACCTTTTCCACAAATTAAAATAGTTGGATTTAGCCGAAATATGTCTGAATTGTAACCTTGTTACCTTGTTTCGTTTTGGCGCTGTGTGTACATCTGACTGCACTTCCAAACGTTATGACAGAACAGCTAGGCCGACTGTCAACAACGTCTGAACGTTGGCCGTGATATCTCATTGACTAGGGTTATAGTAGCTTCCCTTTGACAAAGGTTACTCTAGCGGACAGACTGATGGATTGCCGCGAAAGGCAAGTAAAAACAATTGTTGTTTTTGTATATGTTGCTCCACCACTGTATAAAAAACAGATTTCAGCTGGAACTATATTGGCTACTGTCACTGTCCGACTGACACATCACTTACCCTGTGAGTGAGTGAGTATGGTTTTACGCCGATTTTAGCAATATTCCAGCAATATCACGGCGGGGGACACCACAAATGGGCTTCACACATTGTACCCATGTCGGAGATCGAATCCGGGTCTTCGGCGTGACGAGCGAACGCTTTAACCACTAGGCTACCCGACCGCCCCCACTTACCCTGTGACATAATAAATATTAATGTGCACATTCCAGGAAAACTTGCAATGTTTCGGTAATGTTTGTGAGAGAGGGGAATCGATTTTCAAGAATCAAATATTGACATTATATGATTATGAGGTTATCACAATGTGTGTTTGGGGATGAAAAATATCCTGTATTAGGAATAAACACTATGTATTTAGCTCTTCAAGGCTCGCTTAATACAATGTTTATTCCTAATGCAGGATAAATATATTTACCATCCCCAAACACACTTGCATGATAACCTCTATATACATGAGCATACAAATCCCTATGATGTTTTCTCAGCCTAACAAAATATCGGACAACACATATAATTGTCTGTTTTTCAAATATTTGCAGTTAAATTGAACTATCAGATAGTAAAATTTAATATTCTGTTAACTGCATTGTTGCCGATTTTTTTTATAACATGTTTCATCATACTTGTTACCTTGATAACATTAAATGCCAGTCATCCAATTCCCAATATCACCAGAGACCATATAATAGATGGTCCCTGATATCACATCTATTACCCTGCCTTATTAAAGCAACTTATTCAGAGATAAAAGAAAAGGTCAACTTCTGCATGTCAGACTGGTTATATCAATGCGTACGTAGAAGCAATTGTTGAAGCAAGCTGAAGACATATCACTGACAGTGTCAATAAAATTCATTTGTACGATTTGAAGAGAGTTAGTTACGCTATTTATAGATTTTGTTACAATTTTCGGTTATAAACAAACATTGTTATACTTTATACCTTTCAGTGAAAGCAAGCAATGTTACAAATTTGAACATTTGTTCTAACATTTCAAATGTGTTGATTTACCCGCTCTTGGAGTAAAATCGGTTTATCTCCCCTGTGTCTCTCGGCCTTGTTATTCATAAAAAACGAAACGAAACCAGTCAATTTTCAGACAATTAAACAAGACAATGAATTCACTGGTATTTTGCTATGGCTCTTTAATTTGTTAGTTATCATTATAAAGAGGAAAATGACAAAAATTAATGTTATTTATGGCTCTACGTAATATGCACAGGAATCATATTTCGAGAGGTATAGCGAAATGTAGTACTTTAGCATTTCCGCTTCCGGGTAGCATGTCTGCAGACGAAGACTTGAGCTGATATTTTCTGACCTTTTGGAAATTCACAGTGTGTGTATGTTACTTAATACGTTTATTGCAATTCAATCTATTTTCTCCCTTAGCCTATGAGTTGTTGACAGACTTCCAGACATCAAGTGTTACGTGACATGTAGATGTAGCGAAGGAAACCCCTTCCTCTGTCAATGTCAACATCTTGTGTTCTTTCCAAGTGGAATGTTGCGAAGGCTGACATTATATCAGATGAACCGGGTGCCGAAATATATATCTAATCGATTCCGACTGTTGATCTCAATCTTGTTGTGTGCGACTGACATCACGTGGCACTTCGATACTTAGGGTTTATTAAAGTTGTGTTTTGATGTTTAAAATAGGGCAGGCTACCCCTAACTGTGAAGGCTCTTTTCGATCAAGCACACCCTTTTCGATCAAGCACACCCTTTTCGATCAAGCACACCCTTTACGATCAAGCACACCCTTTACGATCCTTACACTTTGAGGACCCTCAGGGTTACTTGTGAGTTAATGTTAGGGTTATCTGTCTCACCTCTTTCAACTTATAAACCGAATTACAAAGGGTATACATTATTGTACATGGTAGGATGTTACTTGTAAAATGATTGACCAGATACTGTTGACATCACATTCAGAAATTATTTCATGCATGATTTAAAAACACAGAACTATCGATGTACTGCTACAAGTCAATGAATACTATCTTTACTGGATTTTTACTTCTCGTCAGCACAATTTCAGAGTCTCCGACAAACATGAATTTTTAAAACTGTTAATGTAATCTCTCGGATATAGGCCATGGTGCTTCCAGAATCCACCACTTTTTCAGATCCAATTAGCTCTGTGGGGGCTCTAACGCGCCTAGCCGTCTCACCGGCTTGGCTAATTAATGCGTTAATTAGCCAGTCCTTCTACCACTGGACCACGAGCGCTATCACATGTAATCAGTGCTCGTTTAACGGGTCATTAGCACCCCATAAACAAGCATGCATAATTCAGGAAACAATGAATTGCACATGCGTGTGACGTCACTGTCTACTCTCCCAATAATTTTTTCTTGAAACCACACCCGCCACTGTTTATGTCAACATGACCGACCAATCAGAATAACTAGATTAACGCTTGAAAAGGTAAGAAATTATGGCTAACTCTTGCCCAAAGCAAGCTAACCCTAAGGACCGAAAAGGGGTGTTGGATCGTAAAGACATGTAAGTTCCCCTAAGACTGAAAAGGGGTGTTGGATCGTAAAGACGTGTAAGTTTCCCTAAGACCGAAAAGGGGTGATGGATTGTTAAGACGTGTAAGTTTCCCTAAGACTGAAAAGGGGTGTTGGATCGTAAAGACGTGTAAGTTTCCCTAAGACCGAAAAGGGGTGTTGGATCGTAAAGACATGTAAGTTCCCCTAAGACTGAAAAGGGGTGTTGGATCGTAAAGACGTGTAAGTTCCCCTAAGACTGAAAAGGGGTGATGGATTGTTAAGACGTGTAAGTTTCCCTAAGACTGAAAAGGGGTGTTGGATCGTAAAGACGTGTAAGTTTCCCTAAGACTGAAAAGGGGTGTTGGATCGTAAAGACGTGTAAGTTGCCCTAAGACTGAAAAGGGGTGTTGGATCGTAAAGACGTGTAAGTTTCCCTAAGACCGAAAAGGGGTGTTTGATCGTAAAGACGTGTAAGTTCCCCTAAGACCGAAAAGGGGTGTTGGATCGTAAAGACGTGTAAGTTTCCCTAAGACCAAAAAGGGGTGTTGGATCGTAAAGACATGTAAGTTCCCCTAAGACTGAAAAGGGGTGTTGGATCGTAAAGACGTGTAAGTTTCCCTAAGACCGAAAAGGGGTGATGGATTGTTAAGACGTGTAAGTTTCCCTAAGACTGAAAAGGGGTGTTGGATCGTAAAGACGTGTAAGTTTCCCTAAGACTGAAAAGGGGTGTTGGATCGTAAAGACGTGTAAGTTGCCCTAAGACTGAAAAGGGGTGTTGGATCGTAAAGACGTGTAAGTTTCCCTAAGACCGAAAAGGGGTGTTGGATCGTAAAGACGTGTAAGTTTCCCTAAGACTGAAAAGGGGTGTTGGATCGTAAAGACGTGTAAGTTTCCCTAAGACTGAAAAGGGGTGTTGGATCGTAAAGACGTGTAAGTTTCCCTAAGACCGAAAAGGGGTGTTTGATCGTAAAGACGTGTAAGTTCCCCTAAGACCGAAAAGGGGTGTTGGATCGTAAAGACGTGTAAGTTTCCCTAAGACTGAAAACGGGTGTTTGATCGTAGAGCGTGAGGCACGGTAACAGTATAGCAAGAAAGTGACTGGATGGTAGAGCTCAGGCTGTGCCCAGTAAACTGCACTGTTGCCTTTGCCCCAAAACATAATATGTTTGTAGGGGTTAAACCATGGTGACAGGTACAAGGTTTTACCTTGACCTACAAAACAAAGAGTCCAGAGGACCCCCAATTACTAATTTCAATGGTCATTTCAGGAAATATAAGGGTCCTGAAAATTAAAAAAAATGGCGTAGTGTACTGTACTGTAAGATTTAATAATAACCTTAATCACTTGAACTATTTCTTGTCAATAATTTAGTTTAATGAATAATGTGCATCCCTCGAGATGCAACATATATTTTATTCCACATTCATTCTATACATTTGTGGATGCACATTTCTGCGTTGCATAAAACACTACAGCTATTTATCCCCTTTCAGGTATGATAACGTATTTGATCTTGTGATTCTTCTTCAAAGGTGTTGACCCTGATGGCATCCAATTATGCAAAGCGAATGGGTCACTTGGCAGCTCGCATTTTTGGAGAAGTAGCTCGTCCCACCAGTCAGCGCTCCATGAAGGTGGTGAAGCTGATGAGTGAACTCCCTCCCAATCTGAATCCAGAGGTCGTCAACTATTACCCACGATACAAGGATACCAATGGCCTCATGATCAAACTCAGAAAACATGGCTTGTTTAGGTAAAGTATTCTCTGCATGCCCTAACCGATGATTTTTCATGATGAAATGTATGAAAAGTTAATACAGTGATCAGACAATGCTCATGCAGCAGACACATGAAGATAATGATAGAATTGGTCTTTGACGACCTGTGCTTGTCATAAGCGGCGACTGACAGGATGGTCAGGCTCACTGAATCTGTTGATGACTGTCATTGTATTACGTGGATTGATGCTCATGATGACAATCACTGGATTGTCAGGTCCAGACTCAGTTATTTACAGACTGCCATCATATAGCTGGAATATGCTGAGTGTGGCGTTACACCACAAAAAAAATCAATCAATTAACATAAAATCAGTTTTAACATGCATTCTTATCTCAATATCCCATTTTAACCTTTAAGTCAGATGACTGAAAATAAAAGAGGCAAGGGTTTCTGGAAGTTTCAACAACTTGAACTATATGACAAAGATTTGAGTGAGTGAGTTGGGGTTTACGCCTCGTTTGGTATTACTATTAGTTTTACGATATCAAGGCGTGGGACACCAGAAATAGACTTCTCACTTGTGTGGGGAATCAAAACCCGTTAAAGATCCGGGTTAGAATTGGTCTTCAGCAACCCATTCTTGTCGTTAGAGGTGTCGATCACTCTCTCAACTTATCTGGTCAAGACATACAGCTTATTCCAGGAAAGAATAGGTCTTCAGCAACCCATACTATCCGTAAAAGGCGACTATACTTGTCGTAAAATGCGACTAACGGGATCGAGTGGTCAGGCTCGCTGACTTGGTTGATACATGTCATCGATCCCAATTGCGTGGATCGATGCTCATGATGTCAATCACTGGATTGTCTGGTCCAGACTCAATTATTTTACAGACCACCGTCATATAGCCGGAATATTGCTGAGTGCGGCGTTAAACAACAAACAAACAAAAAACATACAGCTTAAATAATGCTTAGTGCACTGCAGCGTTAAACAGTAGAGGTACAGAGCCTATCTTTTCTATAAAAGCTGAAATCATGTATTCATTGGGAATGTGATGTCAAGAAATCTGAGGTGACTATTATCTATATTGCACATTTGCCATATTGCTTTGCCTAAATAGATGTGTATGAGTGCCTTGCCCAGTAACTGAGAATTGTTATATACTTATCTTTGTTTTAATTATTAAATCTAGCTTTAAACTTCAGAGATTGTTGTGTGATTCTTGTAATTGTTATTTGTGGTATCAGCGGGAACCCCTGCCATTCATACCACACGTAACAATTGTGTAACACACTACTAAACCATCATAATCATATTCTTTTTGCAGGGATGAGCATTTAGACTTTCAAGAAGAGATGGTAAGGTTAAGAGCTTTGAGGGGAAAAGTGAAGCCAAAGAAGGGAGAAGGAAAGAGAGCCATGAAGAGGAAGTGACATGTGTAATGAACATGATGAAGACTTATGTATATCAGCGTGTGAAATGTGTTCTAGTGTCTGATTGATGAGATGACAGAAATCAACATCCTCAGTTCAATATTTGTACAATCCTCGACCAAGGCATTATGATCGTCATCAGAGTGAATTGTTCTTGTTCATTCTGTCATACCATTCTCTGTCAGCAGGTTATCGGTGAATGTAGCCATCGGATACTTACCAAGATGTCATCATGATAAACAGAACTGTAGGTACAGACACGTATCTGGATCCCTCGACTGTGAGCTTGAAAGTGGTCGTTTTGTCCTTTAACGTGTCATTTGAGCCCAGTCCAGTACATCTTCCTGAGGCAAGAGAGTTAACTGACTATAAAAGTCCAGTTTCACCCTTGCCGAACTAGGCTGGTATTATGGAGTTACGTTTTGGCTGCACTAAGGAGTCTATGCATAGTCCAATCAAAATTGCACACCTAAATTGAAATCCGGTTCGTAAACTGTCGTGCAGATTTCGGTCGATTGCAGGATTTGCAAAGCATGTGCACCGCCAACTCGTCAGCAGATATTTTTCAAACCTTTTCATGTTTTTAATCAAGGTGCTCACATGATTTGATGTATTTCGCGATGTAAGACCCGTTTTATCACAATATAGATCTTGATTATCGATCAGATCGTCCTGACTGGGCACCACCATTTTGTGTGAAGCAAACGCAAGTGATACGAGAGGTGGATTATGATTGGTCCATAGGAGAGGCTTAGAAGGGACATAACTGGTAATAGCCACTGGAGGCGCTACGATCGAGCCCAGCAATTTCAGCCTAGTTCGGAAAGGGTGGAAACTGGACTTTCCAAGTCAGTTAACTCCCTTGCCTTGGGAAGATGAGTCCAGTATGGCATTTATCAAGCAATCTCTGCTGTGTCTCTTTGAGGGATGTCCCAAGTGCTCACCCCATCTCATCTATTCAGACACAGAGACAAATAGTATTCAGAACTAGCTAAGAGTCAGGATCATTGCAGTGCTGTTATATTAACTTATAGTCTGGGAGGTAATTTAAGGTACCAACGTTTACTACAATATCTGAAAAACTGAAAGGGTGCATGGGAATCACGCACGCACGAATACAGTGTTAGCGTTGGGCGTCTCAACGTGCGTGATTCCCGTGCAACCTTTCGAGTTGTGTTGATTGGTTCAACTGTCTCATATGGCCCTGTGACGCAGGGGTAGCATTATGCAGATGGCTGTTTCAATGAATGCTCGTTCCACCCATGACGAATAGGTCTGGTTGTTGATGAAATATAGTGATAGCTAAATAGACAGATTATTTATTCATGCACCGATTGTCTTTAAATGTAATATCCAGTTATGTATGACTGTTTAATAATCTCATACCAACTTTGACTGGAGTAGGTCCGATAGTTTTTCAGATACTGTAGTAAACGTCGGTACCTTAAATTACCTTCCAGACTATATAAACGTGTAAGACAAGTAACATGTGATACCCAGTTCCAGCTGTTGCATTATCAGCAGTAGACGCCATGTAAAATATCCAACATGCCTACTGCTCATTTTTGACTGGTACAAAAGCAAAATACATTTTGTAACTAGATTTTTGAAAAAATAACTGGTTCGTCTAAATTTTCAATTGCCTTGAACCAATGAGCTAGTGGCTGTATCTACCCCTGCATTTTGTAGTGTTCAAAGTAAATGGGAGTCGTGGCATCCTTGAAAGTTGTTATAGTATTGGAATCTAGAGATCACCTAAATCTATTATTTTTAGCATCAGTGTTACGGCAAGGAAGCCATGAGTTTCATGCTTAGTTTCGACAACAGATTATGTACCATATTTGGTGAGTGTGTGTGTGATGAATTTGTATTTTATGAATGGATATTAATATTATTTACATATACTGAAACACTGAAGCTTATTCAATTATTTGTAATATTGACCAAATGGCCACAAAAATCAAATTACCGTATTCAACGTAATAAGTGCCCGGGGCGCTCTCAAAATTAGAAATAGGTAGCTCTAATTAGAATATTATTTTGAGTTGAAAGATCTTAAATTTCGTGGTTTATGCTGACAGCCTGAAATGTTTATATACGACAGATATATTTTTCCAGGATTTAATTGCCCATAATTAAGGGTGCATATAACATACCAGTGCATATTATACACGAATAAATAAGTCTTGTGTACATTAAACAATTGGAAGGGGTGCTAATTGAGATTGTTCACTAGCCAATACATTAGCAAATATCGCCGTGGGCGCTTGTTGGAGCAGGGCGCATATTACATCGAATACGGTAGGTTGTTTTGGGTGTTTAGGCATGAGGTAACGAAACAACAAGGTTGTTGTACAGGTTCAGATCTCATTTGATGTGTTTGAAGATGAACGTCAGCACAAAATTTGAGTTAAAGTTGATTTGGCATTTTCATTGTGTTTTGGTATATGATTTGAATAGGTTGAAGATTCTGAATGAGCTATTTCATGGACTCGTTGCAAATGTCTTGTCTAAAGGTTGTTAATGAAAGAATAAACTTGTACCAGATTTTGTGTGTTGGATTTAGTCATTAGTGATAGTTTCCAACAGAATGTCAGAACAAGGCAACTCAGTTTATGTTGAAATGATTGAGTTAGTATGGTTTATAGTTTGGTTTAATGGCATGTTGTACAATACATGTATCATGGCGGGTCTGCTTAATGTGGGAGGAGACCCGCGAAGATCCGGGGTAGAATAGGTCTTCAGCAACCCATGCTTGCCATAAAAGGTGACTACGCTGGTCGCAAGAGGCGACTAACAGGATCGGGTGGTCAGGCTCGCTGACTCGGCTGACGCATGTCATCGATCCCAATTGCGTGGATCGATGCTCATGATGTCGATCACTGGATTGTCTTGTCCAGACTGGTTTATTTACAGACCGCAGTCATATAGCTGGAATATTGCTGAGTGCAGCGTTGAACAACAAACCAACTAACCAACCAACTAATGTGGGAGGAAGGCTTTTACTGATGCAGGTACCGGTTGTTTACAAATTTGGCCAAACTCACATGCCTGGGTATGGTGCTGATAAACCAAAGATCATTATCAGGATGTATCTGGGATTTCAATTCAAAATCATTGTATTCTTGTACGCCACTCAGACACAGTATACCGACTCCGAGCCCACCAGTCCTTGTTTTAGCCCCTTAATGCCGAGCGCCAGACATGGTAACAACAAGTACCATTTTTTAACGTCTTTTGGTATGACGCTTGATGATGATGAAGATGATGATGATGTTGCATGCTATATGCATGTTTACAAAAAACTAAATAATTCTTCAAAGTATACATTTAATAATTTCACATTCCAAAAGCACAATATGAACATTACATATATTATTTACAAAACAAGCAAAGTATCGCAGAACAGTGGATCATAAAGAACATGGATCATATGAAAAGATCTATCATCTACCCTTCTATGTACACTTAGAGGTGTCATTTACACCCAAGCATGGTTACACATGGGTGCATGTAACATAACATGACAATGATGTGGAAATTAACTAAATTGCAATTCTCAGTTATAGATAAATGAAATCTGAATTAAATCCTACGGCATGGTTCTCGGCTGTCAATATCTGAAACTTTACACATCAACTTGGAATAAATTAAACAATATTTCAACATGTAACCACTTGTTTTATGACATGAAATAATCAGGAACATATATTAACTGACAGTAGATATACAGATCATAGAGCAACTCAATTGGATTTCAATACAGTGGTATGGATCATGGTTGACATCGGAAACTTAACTTAAAACAACTTCAATAAGTTTCATACTTTAAGAATTTCGATAATATTTTGAAAGACAATCTGATAGAAAGTCACATGATGAGACATTAACAGGATTTGGGCTTTATTGTTCATTTCCAGTTATCAGAGATCAAGTAATCATAATTCCAATTTCTTAATCAAATCAATATATGAACAATCATGTTTTTGTTATAAATCACAGACAAGCTTGACTACTTCAACAGGTTGCTATGACACAGGAACTGTTTGTGTTTGGTTGATGGGTGGCAAGATTTTATGTCGATCTGAACCCGGTCTGTTCCGTGAGTCGGGTCGAGGTGCGGAGGGTGGTCGTGGAGCAGGGAGCTCAGTGTTGGAGGCAGATTTATATCCCTGCTCAGAAATCAGTTCAAGTGGGTTAACAGTTTCCGTAGGCAAGAGGCCTTTAGCAGCATCGTTTTGACTGGGTGGGGTGCTGCCTCTTTGTAGCTCTGTTGCAGAGTCTAAGTCCGAGAACCCCGAGCCGGAACTTGCATCATCAGTGCTGGAGTCGGGTGATGCAGGCGGAAGGGCGCCGCTGTTCCCCACGTTGATGGTGTTGACGGGGGCGGAGAAGGCCCGAGGGTCCATCTCATCACCCAGACCTACCTGGTCGTCCACAGCTTGAGGGGCTGTCTTGGGATATCTGTACAACAGGGAATGGAGTGGTGTGAGTTCAAACATACCTCAACATGGGAAATGGGAAAAGGTCAGACCACGGTGTACTTCATCTGACTGCTGTCTGATGCATTTGCAAGTACCGTATTCAACGTAATAAGCACCCAGGGCGCTCTCAAAATTAGAAATAGGGGGCTCTTATTAGAATATTATTTGTTGAAAGATAAATTTCGTGGTTTATGCTGATGGCCTGAACTGTTTATATACGACAGATATATTTTTCCAGAATTTAATTGCCCATAATTAAGGGTGCATATAACACACGAGTGCGTATTATACATGAATAAATAAGTCTTGTGTACATTGATCAATCAGAAGAGGTGCTAATTGGATTTGTTCACTATTAGCAAATATCGCCGTGGGCGCTTATTACGTCGAATACGGTAATAGTATTGTTAAACAACTGCTAGATGACAGAAATAATCCTTGAAGCAATGTTTTGTGTGGGTTGTGCGAAACCCCATCTGTACCCATGTATGGTTTACCCGATTACAGAGCTCCAGATTACTTTTTGAACAATTGAGTTTTTACTCTAGGGTTTCGTTTTTAATTTGGTTATTACAATTTTCATTGGGTAACCAATATTCATCCTCTATTCATCACTCTATTGGGTTTTTCCCAAAATTAGTGAACATTTTAAGATTTAAAAAAAAAAAGAAATAATGTTTTAGATATATATGTCTGTTCCAAATATATAGGCTTGGCTCGGAATACCTTAGCTCATAATTGTGTTTCGGAAATAAGCTCCTTTGTACGCATGCTGAAAAAGCTTCATTAGGCATTTACAAGAGCTGATTTTATACATTTGAGTTCTTTGTTTAATGCATGCGACTCTGTATGCAAGTTAATTGAAAGTAATTGGGTTTGGAATATATTTTGGAGGTATTTTACGCAAATATGCTGCTTATCTGTAGCTCTGCGATTAAATACAAAACTTCCAGAGATGTGTAAAAGGTTTATATAAAAAGTGCCAGGTGTGTAAATGTTCACATAAAAAGTACCACACGTACAAGGGATGCTTGTCCCAGTGCCACCCTCTGGATCTGGATATACAAGCATGGGTAACATGTTGCTTACAGCACAGACAAATAATGCCATTCAGCATGAAACATCAGTGCAACTCATGGTCTGGAAATGTGCTCCAAGAGGACAAAGTCATTGATATCCCCCACAATAGAAAATACTTGTCGTGAATATGTCAACAAGTAATATGAAAATATACCTAATATTTTGTTGCCAAAAATCCCAGACAATCAAAAGGCACCAATTCACAACTAGACCTATCTGTGTTCCAAGTTTGTTGAAAATATATTTTACGTTTTTCAATATCTGCTCCGGAAATAAGCACTACCCCCATTTCCAGCCAAAGTTAAGGCTGTTGCCATGGAAACTTGAAAAATATTTTTGGCGCAAACCCCAAACTATCAAAAGGCACCAGTTCACCATTAGACTTATTTAAGTGCCAAGTTAATACCCCCTCCAAAATGTGTTGCAGGGGATGACAAGAGTTTACTGGTACACGATTTTCACTCTTTTAGTAAGCTGATTAATAATTCCAGCACACATTACCTTCTGACTACACTATCTCAACAGTAAGTCAAACTACAAGACATCAAGTCCCCCATCGGAATCATAACAGTATATTTGAATGTCAGTTTGTTTGGTACGTACCCAGTGAGCAGCTGTTCATACAGGGGTGGCACATAGCCCGCCACTACCCCCTTAGCTGCACTGTGTCTCCTCCGCAGTGACTCCTCCTCCTGAAATGCATAAGGGAGTGAGAGCTGTGATGAAATTGCTTTAGTCTGGACCCCGTTAATCAGGACACAGTTAGTCTGGAAACAGTTAATCAGGTAACAGTTCTACCGGACCCTGTTAGGACCCTGTTCATCAGGAAATGGTTAGTCTGGACCCTGTTCATCAAGAAACAGTTAGTCTGGACCCCATTAGGACCCTGTTCATCAGGAAACAGTTAGTCTGGACCCCATTAGGACCCTGTTCATCAGGGAGCAGTTAGTCTGGACCCTGTTCATCAGGAAACAGTTAGTCTGGACCCTGTTCATCAGGGAACAGTTAGTCTGGACCCTGTTTATCAGGAAACAGTTAGTCTGGACCCCGTTAGGACCCTGTTCATCAGGGAACAGTTAGTCTGGACCCTGTTTATCAGGAAACAGTTAGTCTGGACCCCATTAGGACCCTGTTCATCAGGGAGCAGTTAGTCTGGACCCTGTTCATCAGGAAACAGTTAGTCTGGACCCTGTTCATCAGGGAACAGTTAGTCTGGACCCTGTTTATCAGGAAACAGTTAGTCTGGACCCCGTTAGGACCCTGTTCATCAGGGAACAGTTAGTCTGGACCCTGTTTATCAGGAAACAGTTAGTCTGGACCCTGTTAGGACCCTGTTCATCAGGGAACAGTTAGTCTGGACCCTGTTCATCAGGAAACAGTTGGTCTGGACCCCATTAGGACCCTGTTCATCAGGGAACAGTTAGTCTGGACCCTGTTAGGATCGTCTTCATCAGGAAACAGTTAGTCTGGCCCCTCTTCATCAGGAAACAGTTCATCTTGACCCTGTCAGGACCCTGTTCATCAGGAACTGTAAGTCTTGACCCCGTTAGTCTAGAAACAGTTACTTTTATATATATCTTTCAAACTCACCACTATCCCTCTTCCTGTTGTAGCAGGGGAGGTAACTTTGCCTCTGGTCTGTGACATGCTGTCGGGAAGGCTTGGTTTCGACCAGGTGCGTGCCCCCATCATGGTGGCAGAAGCAGCACCTGGCAGAGGGTACATATCAGTCTCCCCATGGGCCTCCTCATAGTTGTTGGTGGGGTCGGTCATCATGTTGGGCGACATGGAGCCAATGCCCAGGTAGTCCATCACCAGATGACGCAGGCGACGGTAGCCATCTTGGATGTCATCTAGAGACAAGAGGTACAGTTAGTCCGCAATTCAACTTAAGGGAGAAAGATAATCCAACTATGAGGCAAATCAGCTGCTGCTTGTGGATGTCAATTGAAACAGAGCTCCAGATAAACTGTGTATCTGCGTAAAATACGCATCAGAAATGCAAAAATACGCAGTAAAATAAAATCCAAGCGTATCAAATACGCAAGGAACATTACAGATATGCTACAAAAATAAAACATGTGCGTATCATCAAACTATTGTGAAGTAACCCTGCGTATTCGATTAGCAAATCAGCAACTTATTTTGAAATTATAAACGGGCATTCCGTCAACCTTGCCCAACTCCACGATGACAGTTACATCATGATCATTTGCCATCACACTTTCTTGTGGAAGTATCGTGGTATTTTTTAGTTCTATAAAGCTCTCGAACCCACACGAAAACCAGTTTGCAGTGCCTAGATGAATAGTGTTTTTAAATATTTAACTTAAATACCCTAATGTGTAAAAACTAGTGGGTAACAGAAATTTGAATACCCAGATAGAATTACTGATACCCAATGATTTTTAAATGCATCGGTCAAATACCCACAACACCAAAAGCTTATCTGGAGCTTTGAGAAAGTAATAATCTGTAGGCTGAACATATTATGGTTTGTCTGGCATTAGTGAGTGAGTGTGTTGGGTTTTACGCCGCCCTCAGCAACATTCCAGTATTGTCATTGTTGGGGACACCAGAAATGGGCTTCTCCTGTTGTAATCGAACCTGGGCCTTTGCGTGATGATTGGAAACTTTAACCACCCCTTTGTGGATGTTAGAAATTAAGGGCTGTCTACCCTAACTATAATGCCAGTCCACCAATATAGCCTCAACAATGGAATACACTAGATCCAGCAAATGGATCTTGTTAATTAGGTTTCATCTTGAACTTTTTAATCTAAATGGTTGGTTGGTTGGTTTGTTGTTTAACGCCGCACTCAGCAATATGCCAGCTTTATGACGGCGGTCTGTAAATAATCGAGTCTGGACCAGACAATCCAGTGATTAATATGATGAGCATCGATCCACGCAATTGGGATCGATGACATGCATCAACCAAGTCAGCGAGCCTGACCACCCGATCCCGTTAGTCGCCTTTTACGACAAGCATAGTCCCCTTTTACGGCAAGCATGGGTTGCTGAAGACCTATTCTACCCCATAATTTATCTAAATGGAAACGTAAGGATAAGATATTATGGATAAATGGAAATGATGATGAATACAGAGAGCATTGATGCATACCCTTGATGTATATCTAGTTATCAAGTATTTCAAGCTAGTGGGCTCGCATGTAGGTTTGGAGATGCCAAATCTCAGATAGGCTAAAAACCCGAATGATATTCCAAACCATATATCAAGACATATAGTATGCAATGCATCCATTGCAAAAAGTGTAGTTTGACACACATCAAATCATGCACCACATTGTCACATCTCAAGCAAGCACCTGTGTTAGAGTGAGTGAGTGAGTATGGTTTTACATTGCTTTTAGCAATATTCCAGCAGTGGGACACCAGAAATGCGCTTTACACATTGTACCCATGTGGGGAAACGAACCCAGGCCTTCAGCGGGACGAGTGATCGCTTTAACCACTAGGCTACCCCACCGCCACCTGTGTTAGACCAGTGCTCACTTACCACTGTTGATCAGCATGTCAAAGAAGCCTGGATGTTCCTGGTTGTAGTCCTTGTACATCTCGGCTCTCTTCAGAGTGTCCTTGATCTGCTGCTCAGAGTACACGCCCCTCTCTCGGAGTCGGCGCTCGTGAGCCTCATGGTTCAGTGGAAGGATCAGCACGTACCTCGGCTCAAAGTAAGTGTTCTTCAGCGACAGTACCCCCTGAAGGCAACATTCCAAGATAACTCATCCCTTCCATTACAAGAAATTATCTCTAAATGTTAGAAAAGTTTGCAGTTCAGTTGCTAGAAGTAATATAATGGCAATGACAGGGTGTGGTTGATTACGAACCACAGGTTGCCTGAAGTCAGTTATTGATGGTCTCTTTCATCCTTTCACTTTAAAACAAATGATTATATGATTATTTTATTCCTCGACACTAGCATTTTGTTACCTACATGTATTAGGTTAGAATTTATGAATAAATTGTTTTTAAGGATACCACTGAACCTAAAAAAATGAAAAGAGAAAGTAAAATATATCTAAAAAGTACTATTTTTCCAAAAAAGGTCAACTGCAAGACAATGGTTTAAGTTTGTTTGTTTGTTTGTTTGTTTGTTTGTTTGTTATTTAATGTCGCACTCAGCAGTATTCCAGCTTAATGATGGACCAGACAATCCAGTGATGGACATCATGAGCATCAATCCACGCAATTGGGAAACGATGACATGCATCAACCAAATCAGCGAGCCTGACCACCTGATCCTTTTAGTCACCTTTCGACAAGCATAGTCGCCTTTTACGGCAAGCATGGGTTGCTGAAGACCTATTCTACCCCGGATCTTCACTGGTCCAATAGTTCAAGAGATGAGACACATACTGCACACACTGCAGTGTATTCAGATAACAAAATAAACTGAAATGTCTGCAGTGGAGCTGGGACAGGTAACTCGGGTACTCGGGTCGGGTGGGTCCTGAGTAGGACCCGGGTACCCACAGGACTACCCGGACCCGTGGTTTGTCACGTGATACATGCATATTGTTTAATGAAAAAAATTATCCAAAACTCTATGGTTACACTACAAGTCACTAATGTTCCCATTTCTTTCTGACAATGCACCCATTCCTTCTGACTTTTATATGTTTGAATAAAGATAAAACTTCATGCAGTAAACTTCAGTGTATGCATGACCAGATCGTTTTACACGTGTTTGTAAATACATTTTCCTGGGGCTCCGGTAAAACTTTTCCAAATCGGACAGTTTTGTACCTATCTCTAAATATCTACAGCGGGTACACGGGTAGGGTCGGGTAATAGGGTCACCTGGGTGTTGGGTACCCAGGTAGTTAATTTGGACTCGTCCCAGCCCTAGTCTGCAGTAAATGTATTCTTCTCAGTGAATCCCCTGATGGAAGATCAGTCTCTGTTAAAATATGTCTTTTCTTAAATGCCTTTTATGGACAAGAAAGTAACTACGAAAGGTACTTACTTCAGATGTACCGTATTCGACGTAATAAGCGCCCAGGGCGCTCTCAAAATTAGGAATAGGGGACTCTTATTAAAATGTTATTTTGGTGGAAAAAAACAGAGTTGAAAGATACATTTCGTGGTTTATGCTGACAGCCTGAAATATTTATGTACGACAGATATATTTTTCCAGAATTAAATGCCCATAATTAAGGGTGCATATAACACACCAGAGCGTATTATACGCGAATAAATAAGTGTTGTGTACATTGATCAATAGGAAGGGGTGCTCATTGGGATTGTTCACAAACCAATTTCTTAGCAAATGTCGCCGTGGGCGCTTATTAGAGCGGGGCGCTTATTACGTCGAATACGGTATGCTATCTTATCATGACTTACCTCCAGCTCCATTTGGACCACACAAGCCAGCCCCTCCCTGGCCACACCCTCTACAGACTCCATCTGGAGACCATACCAGTCACCATGGTATTCGTTGGACTGGATGAACTGACCCTGGGTCAAGCAGAAGTGGTTAATACAGGGGTCCGGAAAATTTAAAATCCCAATCGGACATTTGCATTTAGTACCGGGGTAATTAATCCTCGATTAATCAGTGTCAACTCAGTTTATTGCCTATTACAGTGATTGACCGCTTGGACTATCATGTAGGTATGATGTATTTACAGCAATCAAAACAAACAAAGCGTAGATAATCTTCATTGTGTTACAACTGCAGACAGAAACTGCTCAGTCTTAACTGTTGATCATGTCTGGTCAAAATTTAAGAATGTCCGGACAATACTTTTTAAAATGTCCGGACAGAGAAATTTAAATGTCCGGTAAGCAATATTTTAAACTGGACATTTATGATTCCCAATCGGACATGTCCGGCGCATATGACGGTTTCCGGACCCCTGGGTTAATTTACATATTCATTCACACTGAAGTAATGCTGTGTATCAGACAGTGAGTGAGTTTGGTTGAAAGTCACTTTGAACAATATACAAGTTTTAGGCCTATCGCAGCAGGGTTTACCGTATTTGATGTTGGATGCATATGGTGAAGGGGCAGATCCATGATTTTGAAAAATTGGGAGGGGTCATAAAATGACTTGACCGAGGGCGCAGTTGACACTTAAGGTGTCTAGAGCAAAAGGGGGCCTGGAACCCATGATCACAGAAGCCATGAGGGACCAGAGCTCCAGATAACTTTTTGATTTTGAGCAATTGAGTTTTTACTCGAAAGTTTGTACTTTAATTGGGTTATTGCATTTTTAATTGGGTATTCATCACTCTACTGGGTTTTTCTCAAAAATGAGTATGCATTTTGAGATTTAAAAAAATGAAATAATGTTTTAGGTGTATATAACGGTTCTAACTATAGGCTTGACTCGGAAAGTAAAGTAGCTCATAATTGTGTTTGTGAAATTAGCTCCGATGTACGCATGCTGAAAAAGCTTCATTGGGTATTTATGCATGCTGTTTTCGAACAATTGAGTTTTCCATTTAATGCATGTGTTTCTGTATTCAAGTTTATTGAAAGTAATTGTGTTTTGAATAGTTTTGAGGGGAGACAGGCATTTGTTGACAAAACAAGCAGAGTGATTTACAAAGTGCCTTACCATTTTGATATCTATCTCAAACTTTTCAATGGAGACAAAGTTGTAGTCTTTCTCATGGACTTCATCAGCGTAGGGCTTCCTTGTTGTGTCTGGCATGCTGTCAACAGAGGGGCTTGAAGTGAGTCGGTCATGGATATGCGGTACATTAAAGTGTTTGTTTGTTGTTTAACGCCACACTCAGCAATGTTCCTGCTATATGATGGCGGTCCGTAAATAATCAAGTCTTGTACAGATAATCCAGTGATTGACATCATGAGCATCGATCAAATTGGGATGAGATGACTAGTGGTGTAACGATACGGCGATACAGTATTGTTTTCCAATGTACAGCCCACGATACGATGCATCGATTTGGGAAGCATGTATCGCGATACATACGATATTTTCATAACACAGTTTTACTTACGTATTTTCTTGAGTATAGTGCGCACTTTTCTCTCTCCGAAAAACAGCTGTGTAGAAGGGGGTGCGCATTATACACGAATAAATGAGTTTTGATGTTTTTTCCCCCATGGAAAGACATTACCGTGAGCCATAACACCGGAAATACCATGTCAACAAATCCATACTGAAGTTCGCAAATTATTCATGTAATTACACTGTCTGGCTAGAAAAAGTGTTCTTTGTATATCTGGACTTATGTTTGTAACTAATTTCATTAATTTTATTCAAAATCCTTTTAATATTGTTTTAATTAATTTCGGCGAAATCGTGTGTGAAGCGATCGGAAGATCGCACAACTCACCGTTATTAACAGCAACCACGGTCAGGTTACCGCTATTGACGCCGTGAAACAAACTCTAGTTGACAGAGAATGGATACATATATCATAAATGCCATACTTTGATTCGTTAAAAGTCATATTTGTTTTTGTTGGACGATTCTATGTCAACACGTAATTCTTGCGATCACGCGATCACGTGCACGGGAGCCTTGACGGTGACTGGTCAGACTGGTTCCATGTAAAAAATAATACCCGGCAATAGCGATCAGCTGCTTTGCTTAGGGTTATTATTATTTTAAATATGTTTAGTAAAAGCCGCATCTAAATTAACAAGATATTGGAATATATTATTCCTGATAAAAAAAATAGTTTCAGATACAACTTTTGCCGATCCTTGCATTAAAATCCTGTTAAGTTATATCATTGGGTGTGTCTTGACCGAATCACCGGTAGATTCCAAGAAAACGTGTGTATAGCTGATTGCTGTGTCCGGCTTAGTTTACGATAAAATACACAAGGTAATCTTAATCCCTGGATATTAAACAATGCCTAGCTGAACAAAAAATACAATTTAAACGGTCAATAAACATGTCTGGTGATTTTTTATTTAAAATTTCGAATTTGTACTGACGAAGTTTCTCATCACACGTTCGTTTGCCGGACTTCGCTGAAGGGGTACGGTGACTAACGGTGTAATGTTTTTCTGCGCATAATATTCAAATTTCTATTTTTTCTCCAAAATATTGAACCCGCTAGAGGGGGGTGCGCACTATACTCAAGAAAATACAGTACTTTTAAACATGAAATACGTTTAACAGTTTCAAAGCCAGTTTGTTGTTTCAGTAAAACATGCTGTATTTCTGACAAGATGCTATAACAGTAAATAACACCTTATATCTTTTTCAACTGTACTTGTCACATCTTTTAGAGAGCAGAAAGACATCAACTTGGCTTAGCTTGTACCAGTAAACACTGTATCGTGATACGTATCGTATCGCGACCCCTGTATCGCGATACATATCGTACCCTCCCGTATCGTTACACCTCTAGAGATGACATGCACAAACCAAATCAGCGAGTCTGACCACCCGATCCCGTTAAGCATAGTAGTCTTTTACGGCAAACATGGTTTGCTGGAGACCTATTCTACCCCAGATCTTCACAGGTGGAACAACACCGTGCGAAATACAAGCCAACTGATAAAGGACACACAGTTTATTCAAACACTGGAATCCACTTGATGAAGCGATGCTTCCCAAAAACAACATTACCATGAGGCCAGTCTCGTAATGACAGTGATTATTTATGAACCCCACCTAGATTGGATTGTAATACTAATCCTCATCTGACCACCTGATCCCGTTGTGAGTGAGTGAGTGAGTGAGTGAGAGAGTGTGAGAGAGAGAGTGAGTGAGTGAGTGAGAGAGAGAGAGTGAGTACGAGAAAGAGAGTGAGTGAGTGAGTGAGAGAGTGTGAGAGAGAGTAAGTGAGTGAGAGAAAGAGAGAGTGAGTTTGTGAGTGAGTTCGCGAGTGAGTGAGAGAGAGAGAGTAAGTGAGTGAGTGAGTGAGAGAGAGTGTGAGAGAGAGAGAGTAAGTGAGTGAGTGAGAGAAAGAGAGAGAGTGAGTTCGTGAGTGAGTGGGTAGTGAGTGATCATAACTGATGGGGTTACGATACATTTGATGATCAAGTATGTTCCGAGGTAAAACTAATGATGGTCACATACTTCTTACTTGGATCAAGAACACAACTTCGAGCTCAACAACGGCAACCCAAAATCCCTACCTTCTCGTTGACTCCAACCCAATAAGTACAAAGTTGCATGATTAAAAACATATGTACACAGATTTGAAGGCAGTTTTTGTGGGATAACGATGTACATTATGGCAGAGTTGTGAGTGTGGTATGTTCCGAACTGGAGGTCTAGCAGGAAAGCACTGTGGAACAGCCTCTAGCTCTGTGCAGCAACAAGTCAATACCAAACCTGTTCTTATGAAGCAGCACAGAGATATGGTTACCGCAGCAAAAACACACCCTGCAAGACTATATTTTATGTTTGATCCATTAAGTACTTACCCATAACCAAAGTAATCAGAAAATTCTTCTGTAAGTTTGAGAGCAAGGTCTTTCTTCCCTGAACCCTGAGGACCCACGAGGACCAGCATAGGGTACACAGTCTCAATGTTTGGTAAAGTACTGCAAATACAAAGTTACCTGTTGGACAACACACTGTTATTTTTTGGTAAACATTTGAATGACCAGAGCCAATGCCTCAATCAGACAATAAAACAAAAATAGTTACATTTTATTATTATTTACCCGATCTCTTTCTTTGTTGGATGGGTTTCAGCACAATAAAAAGACCACCACCTTCTCTGACAGATGTAAATATACATATAGATAACTGACAAAATATGAAACATCCTGCACTTTAATCAGAATTAATATTTCACTCAAAACTGCCCCCCAGACAACTTCATGCCAAATTAAAACTATTGAACTTCACGAGTTCTTTTCAAACTTTTTTTCTAATCTATCAAAGTTGGTTTGCAAAATGTCTGTAAACTAGGTAGTAATGAATTATAGATAATTATTGGATCGTTAAAAATGGTAAAAAATATAAAAGGTTTGACAAAGTGTCACATTTTCTTTTTCTTTTCATTTTGAGAAGCTCGACTAACCTGTCCCACACTCTGCTTGGCTGCAGGAAGTTGTACACCACATGCATCATGTGATCCCCGGCTGCCACGACCTCTGGCGGAGGGTCAAACATGTTCCTGGCTGCAACCTGTGGACATAGTCAAACACTTAGTGAACCACAGAGTCTCAACAAACCAGTGATTGATATAGTGACGACCAATGCCATTAGCGTACAATGACACGTCATCTACCAAATCACTGAGTCTGACCCCCAATCCATTTACAGAGCTCCAGATAAGCTTTTGGTGTTGTGGGTATTTTACCCATGCATTTAAAAATCATTGGGTATCAGTAACTCTATCTGGGTATTCAAATTTCTGTTACCCACTAGTTTTTACACATTAGGGTATTTAAGTTAAATATTTAAAAACACTATTCATCTAGTCCCTGCAAACTGGTGTCGTGTGGGTTCGAGAGCTTTATTGGACTCAAAAATACCACGATACTTCCACAAGGAAGTGTGATGGCAAATGATCATGATGTAACTGTCATCGTGGAGTTTGGCAAGGTTGACGGAATGCCAGTTTATAATTTCAAAACAAGTTGCTGATTTGCTAATCGAATACGCAGGGTTACTTCACAATATTTTGATGATAAGCACAAGTATTATTTTTGTAGCGTATCTGTAATGTTCGTTGCGTATTTGATACGCTTGGATTTTATTTTACTGCGTATCTCTGCATTTCTGATGCGTATTTTACGCAGATACGCAGCTTATCTTGAGCTCTGATTTAGCTGCCCCTTACGTCCAGCGTAGGTTGCTGGGAACCTATTCTAACCCTGATCTCCCACACAGTTTAATGTCACGGGGTAGAATGGGTCTTCAGCAACCCATGCTTGCTGTAAAAGGCGGCTATGCTTGTCGTAAGAGGCGACTAACGGGGTCGGGTGGTCAGGCTCGCTGACTTGGTTGATGCATGTCATTGATCCCAATTACGTGGATCGATGCTTGTGATATTAATAACTGGATTGTCTGGTCCAGACTCAATACTTACAGACCGCCGTCATATAGCTGGAATATTGCTGTGTGCGGCGTTAAACAACAAACCAACCAACCTAATGACACAGACTGTACATGGGAGGGGTGAATGTACCTTCTCCTCCACTTCAACTCTCATCCTGTCGAGGTCGGTGAGACTCTGGAGCCTGAAGAGGATGGAGAGTCGGTAGTCAGGCAACTCCTGTACCGGGTTCTGCAGCAGGTTCAGTTGTCGCAACATCCTCAACTTCATCAAGTACTTCATCTCACTGATGTCGATCACCTGACAAGTTACACATACATGTACTGCTATTCTGACACACAAGCACAAACATGGCATTGCAGCTGTACAGATAAAAAATACAAATATAAAATTCTTATTTTCATAAACTAAGCATTAATCAGAATTTCAATACACAACATTGATGTATTCATAAATTGCACTCACATTCCTCAGCAGAATATTTCCAAGAAAATGAAAGGGAAATTGTTCTGTTTTATAATTTAAAAATATATGGAAGAAATAAAAAAGAAAAAGAGCAGTTTTAGTAAAAGGAATTGATCGAACAAGTGTTTAAAGGAATCATTTATTTATTTAGTTTATTTATACAGTGGGTGGGGATTAATCAAGGTGGCAGTGGCCATACAAACCTCATTGTTTTCCAGGTCAATGTACTCTAACATGTCGTGACCTTCCAGACCAGAGAGACTGCGGATCTTGTTCCCGGACAGGTTCAGGTGCTACAATACACAATCAAACACTCCATGATATGAAGTGACTTGCACAGGTCAGCCCTAAATGCCCAAACCACAGGGGTAAGATAACTGGAGCTCTATCACATCCCTTTTGTTTGTTTGTTGTTTAACGCTGCACTCAGCAATATTCCAGCTATATGACTGCAGTCTGTAAATGATCTAGTCTGGACCAGACAGTCCACTGATTGACACCATAAGCATCGATCCACGCAACTGGAATACGATGACATGCATCAACCAAGTCAACGAGCCTGACCACCCAATCCCGTTAGTCGCCTCTTACGACAAACATTGTCTCCTTTTATGGCAAGAATCAAATGTCAAAACTAGTTTCCCATTCTGCCAAATGCATAAATCCTTTACCCAAATTTGATACCTTTTGTAGGAAAGAGGCATCAAAACAGAGTAAGTATATACCGTATTCGACGTTATAAGCGCCCCGCTCTAGTAAGCGCCCACGGCGATATTTGCTAATATACTGGCTAGTGAACAATCCCAATTAGCACCCCTTCTGATTGATAAATGTACACAAGGCTATTTATTCGAGCATAATACGTTTGTTATATGCACCCTTAATTATGGGCAATTAAATTCTGGAAAAATGTATCTCTCGTTTATAAACAATTCAGCATAAACCACGAAATTTACGCTCTTTGAACTCAAAAATATATATTCTAATAAGAGCCCCCTATTTCTAATTTTGAGAGCGCCCTGGGTGCTTATTATGTCGAATACGGTAACTTTATAAAGATTGGCAGCTGCCAGAGGACAAGTTAACAATGAGTTTATATCCATTGTATGAACCATTTTCCTTCCAACATACTTACCCTTAGGTATGTGAGAGATTCTATATTCTCAATCCTTGTTAAGGAGTTGTGACACTGTAATCAAAGAAATGGAAGAATGCTGAAACCTTTCATCATATCATTTCCAACATCAGCATTTATAGGTATATGTTCACACAAACAAACAATAGTGTGTGAAGCATTAAAGTGTGTGAGTGAGTATGGTTTTACGCCGCTTTTAGGAATATTCCAGCAATATCATGGCGGGGGACACCAGAAATGGGCTTTCACACATTGTACCCAAGTCGGGAATCGAACCCGGGTCTTCAGCAGGACGAGCGAACACTTTAACCACCAGGCTACCCGACCGCCCCTGTGAAGCATTAAAGAAAATTAACACTGTAATCACACATGAACAAAGTCTTACCATATTTAGATGCTGAATAGGCAAGCCCTCTAAACCCTGCAGGTTTTCAATCTTGTTGTGTGCCATGCTAAGAAATGAGAGTCTTTTACAGTTGTTCAATCCCTTCAGTTCATGAATCTTGTTGTCTGAAAAACAAAGGTTACTAATTAGGGTCAGTTTTTTTTATCATGATTAAATTATTATATTTAAAAAAAAAAGAGTTCTATTATGAAGCCTTTAATAAACTTTGCACCACAGTGTATGGCGTCTAAAATGGCATCTATTCATCAAAACTGTTCATGATTTATTCCAGTTTCGTCCTTTTTAAAGCTGCATTGACAGCAAAGCATACATTTGGTAAAAATAAGATGACAACACAAACGTTAATGAGCCAATCTCACTGTCAAGGTTGAGTTTCTTCAGGAAGTGGTGAGCAGAGAGGTCATTCATCTCCTCGATCTGGTTGAAGGAGAGGTCAACTAGCATCAGGTTCTTAGGAGGGGTGAAGTCCAGGACCCTGGGGATCTGGTTGTGGGAGGCGTCCAGTATCAGCAGGTGCTCCAGATTGCTCAGTGGGGACAGGTCTAGATACATGAACATACGTGTGTACATCTGATTTGCAGCTTAGTGTACGAGAAAATACACAAGGTAATCTTTTTTCTTTTTTGTTTGTTTGTTGTTTAACGCCGCACTCAGCAGTATTCGAGCTATATGACGGCGGTCTGTAAATAATCAAGTCTGGACCAGACAATCCAGTGATTGATATCATGAGCATCGATCCATGCAATTGGGATACGATGACATGCATCAACCACGTCAGTGAGCCTGACCACCCGATCCCGTTAGTCGCCTTTTACAACAAGCATAGACACCTTTTGCGGCAAGCATGGGTTGCTGAAGACCTATTCTACCCCGGAATCTTCACGGGTCCACAAGGTAATCTAAATCCCTGCATGTAAAACAATGCCTTGCAGAACAAAAAATAAAATTAAACGGTAAATCAACATGTCTGGCGATTTTTTATCTCAAATTTCAAATTTGTACTGACCAAGTGTTAGCATCCGTTTGTTTACCGGAATTCGCAGAAGGGGGACGGTGTAATTTTTTTTCTGTGCATAATATTCGAGTGAGTCAGTGAGTGAGTTGGGCTTATTGCCGCTTTTAACAGTATTCCAGTTATATCGCTGCGTGTCAGCTTAATGTTGGAGGAAAGTCCGAAGTGATGCAGGTCTCAGACGCTGACCACTACGGTGAAATCCACAGGCACAGGTATGGTGCTGACAAACCTAGAAACATAATCGTGGCGAACCAGGATTCGAACCCACAATCATAGGTTTCTGGCGTGCCCAGAGGACACAACTCTGCACAGCGAACCGTGGCGCCTTAGACGACTGGGCCACCCGTGCCCCCCATAATATTAAAACAAAAAACAAACTTTTTCCAAAATACTGAATCCACTAGAGGGGTTGTGCATTATGCTTGGGTGCGCACTATACTCAAGAAAATATGGTATATATATATGAGACTGTGCAGTCAACCCAGTGGCAGACCTGGGTGAGGGAGTGCTTGTGTTTATAACAACCAAATGTCCATCCATGAACTGGTATGTGTAGATGGGTGAAATTGAAGGCAAGAAAGACTCTTGAATAACTGGCAAAAACAGAAGCTGTCAAATGTCATGTCAATGTCAAATGATGTTGCAGTGCCTTTGAATCTAATAGGTTTGCTTCTATAGTATTTGAACGAAGGGACCTTCTACATGTTTACCTATAAGGCTAAAAAAAATAATAGTCTTGGTTCTCAGGCACTGCCCACATCATCATAAAGTTCAATGCACATTTCGTTTTTGTTTCCATTTCAATTTTTGTTTGTGCATTGTGTTTAAGTATTAGGATTTTTATATTTTTTTGAAAATGGAAATAAAAACAAAACGTGCGGCAGATTTTATGATGATGCGAGTGGTGCCTGAGAACCAAGACTATTATTTTGTTTTAGCCTAACACTGGGGTCATTGCAAGGATTCCTGAGTTCCATGCTCAGTTTTGAACACTGTAGTAACAATTATCACACTCCCAACCCCAAATTAATGAACAGGTCCCAAATAATGGAACCCTTTTTTAAGACATCCTGGATCCGCACTTGCAATAACTGTTTTCTTTGAAGAATACATTTATCCCAGCACTACATTACTCCAACCCACATAACATCTCTAGAAACATTAAATGTGGAAAACATCACCTTGAAAACAAAATTTGATATTCATTTGTCGATTGTGGTATTGTTACTTATTGATTCCGTACATCCAACCTAGTGAGTGGTAGTTTCATGCAATTTTGAACTGATTATTATTTTGACATCATTAAATAATATACTGTAAAACGTGAAATTAATGCCTCTCCAAAAGAATGTGACCGCTGGCCCCTAGCCAAAAATGCGACTCAATATGAATGCGACACCCCCTCCTCTCAAGCATCAGTGGATTTATATCTAAACAAAATGTCCTCTGTCAGGTTTACAGGAGAACCCTCACCTTAATCCAACCTTACATTAATCCAATCACATACCAAATAGCACTGCTTATGAGCGCTGATTTGAGTACTTCAGCTAAAACAATACGTGCACGCTGGCTCGTGTCGGCCTTTGACGCAGTCGCAAAGAGCAAAGACACTGTGTTGGGTGGCGTCTGTCTGGACTTGCAGGTGTGATCAGTGATGACATGAGTGAGTAGAACGCTTGTCTTTACCCCAGCATCGATAATTCACAGGATGTAATTAGTGTTTGAATGACATTGTTTATATACTTGTAACAAGTGCTGCTCAATAAACAGTGATGTGGAATACATAGTTGTTTGTTTTCAGCGTATGTCTAAGTTGGTATTTCTGCTATCCAAAATGTCTTATTGTTGATATAAATGCGATGTTTAATAATGCGAGCAAAGACCACTCGCATTTTTAGCATTGTATTCACACTCGCATTAATAACAAGATTTACAGTATATCAACAATACTGTCTGTAATATACCAACAATACTGTCTGTAAATTGTCAACAATACGGTCTGTAATATACCAGCAATACAGTCTGTAATATACCAGCAACACGGTCTGTAATATACCAGCAATACAGTCTGTAATATACCAGCAACACGGTCTGTAATATACCAACAATACTGACTGTAAAATGTCCACAATGGTATTGGTATTATGTCAGTAAAGCTGCTGAGCCTGGGAAATCATGTCAACATACGTGCTTCACATTGGTTTTTATCAACTCTTCATTTTGAATCACATTCATAATTCATATTTTGTCTGTGTCCTTACCTGTAATTTCGTTGTAAGGAATCTCCACTTTTTGTAAATGGACATATTCTGCCAAGATGCTGATGTCTGTCAAGTTGAAGCCCTGCAACACAGATATTAGTTTTTATAAGGAGTTTGTTGTTTTGTTGTTTGTTGTTTTGTTGTGTCAGGATGCACTCAACAATACTCCAGCTATATGACAGTGGTCGGTGAAAAAAAGTCTGGACCAGGTCAATCTCATTAAAATCAGATCTTAGTTCTCGCTACCACTAAACAAAGATCTGAGGACATCCCATTACGGGTCACGTCTGACCGACCTTGCGCGAACTTTGACCAACCAATTGAATGACCAATCAGAAGGCAGCTTTCTCGTGCTTTATGGCACTAATTTTGACAAATTCTCGATTACAAATTTGAAACCTAAACAAAAGAACATTCTGGAATGGCTAATAGATGGTCTAGGTTGTATGGATTCAGTCGTTAAACCCGTAACTATTGTTCGGAATACCCTGTGTTAAAGTTTTCGAGATTGTATGATTAGAAATCACATTCCGACTGTCACTTTCATGATCTGGTAAGCAACGTTCTGATTGAAAAATCGTTCTGACGTGACCCCTAATGGGATGTCTTCAGATCTTTGTTTAGAGGTTGTGAGAACTAAGGTTGGGTTTTCATGAGATTGGGACCAGGTAATCTGGTGATTGACATCATGAGCATCAATCCACGCAAGTAATCACCCTTTCCGATAAGTCACCTAACTATTACTGGGGACCCACAGACTTGCCCGGAAACCCAACAGGCAGGTCTTTGTAGGAATAATGACAATAGTTACATCAGGGCTGGGACAATACACCAACTGTGCAATCCTTTTACATATCATGATACCGTTCTCACTATCAAACACATATCACGATACATACATACCGTATTCGACGTAATTAGCGCCCCGCTCTAATAAGCGCCCACGGTGACTTTTGCTTATATATAGGCTAGTGACCAATCTCAATTAGCACCCCTTCCGATTGATCAATGTACACAAGACTTATTTATTCGTGTATAACGCACTCCTGTGTTATATGCACCCATAATTATGGAAAATTAAATTATGGAAAAATATATCTGTCGTACATAAATATTTCACCATAAATAACGATATTTATCTTTCAAATCTTTTTTTTTTCACCAAAATAATATTTTAATAAGAGCCCTATATTTTTAATTTTTCAGAGCGCTCTGGGCGCTTATTACGTCGATACGGTATGCTCTTATCTGTGGTGTGTAAGCCATATTTTTCATAGACAGGATGGCCAAATGCCTGGTGCGCTGACGACTTACAGTTAGCAGTGTCAATCATGGTGCAATAGAAGAAAATATTTACGTTTTTAGTACTAATGTTTACCACTAGTAAGTGTTTGGTGCAACAGTTATTAAAGAAAACATTCGAGGTCAGAAATGATATTTCTTACTTAGTGAGCAACTGTAATAGATACTTGTATTGAGAACCCGTGAAGATCTGGGGTAGAATAGGTCTTCAGCAACCCATGCTTGCCGTAAAAGGCGACTATGCTTGTCGTAAGAGATCGGGTGGTCAGACTCGCTGACTTGGTCGATTCATGTCATCGATCCCAATTGCGTGGCTTGATGCTCATGATATCAATCACTGGATTGTCTGGCCAAGACTCGATTATTTACAGACCTCCATCATATAGCTTGAATAATGCTGAGTGCGGCGTTAAACAACAACCAAACCAACTTGTATCGAGAAGTAAATACTCAGAGTATCGTCCCAGTACTAGGTATCATCACCATGAAATAGCTATGAGAAAGTACAAACCTTGAAAATTCAAGTCCTTAAAGGGCAATTTCACACGGAAATGAACCTATTTTTCTTGTACTTTTTCCACACTAAAAGTGTTAACCTAGAAGTGTCATAGACAAAAATATAAAAATATCACTAATAATTGACATTTTTTTGGCATTTAAATGATTTATATTTTTCACATTTACCAAGTGTTCTATTTACATAACAAAAACACCATGGCTTATGCCCCTTACAATATGACGTCATTGGTGCCAATTGATAAACATTATGACGTCATCATGCTTTGTTAGAGCCGCTTCACGTGGTGTAGGTACAGGTGTGTGATTCTAGCGTCTCAGATGCCAGCCAGCATAGTGTTATGCTGAGTCACCACTGCGCCGGAGTGTGTCGTAGGCCATGTTGTTTTACCACAAACTGGTACTTGATATCTTTTGCGTTGAGAATAGACAGGGACCCAGTTGAATTGGCACCAATTACGTCATAATCTAAGGGGGATAACTCAGGCCTGTTTAGCTCGAAAAACGAAGGCCTCATAATGGCATATCATTTTCACACTATTGTGAGCTTCCTACTTTCACTGTGAAAAAAATGAGTGTATATTTTTAAACACAGATACCAACTAATTCTAAAACTGCGTTTTGATAGAAACGAATAGAAAAGATAGAAAGTGATTTTTGTGTGTACACTTCCCCTTTAAACGAGTAAATTGAAATGCTAAGCATTCTGAATAATTGCTCATTATCTCATTCATATTTTTCAAACATTTTATCTCATTGGAACATGTCCTGTTCCTATGTACTACCTTTAGCACTCAGAGCTCTAGATAAGCTTTTGGTGTTGTGGGTATTTGACCCATGCATTTTAAAATTATTGGGTATCAGTAATTCTATCTGGGTATTCAAATTTCTGTTACCCACTAGTTTTTACACATGTGGTATGTAAGTTAAATATTTAAAAACACTATTCATCTAGTCCCTGCAAACTGGTGTCCTGTGGGTTCGAGAGCTTTATAGGACTCAAAAATACCACGATACTTCCACAAGAAAGTGTGATGGCAAATGATCATGATGTAACTGACATCGTGGAGTTGGGCAAGGTTGACGGAATGCCCGTTTATAATTTCAAAATAAGTTGCTGGTTTGCTAATCGAATACGCAGGGTTACTTCACAATATTTTGATGAAATGCACAAGTTTTATTTTTGTAGCGTATCTGTAATGTTCGTTGCGTATTTGATACGCTTGGATTTTATTTTACTGCGTATTTCTGCATTTCTGATGCGTATTTTACGCAGATACGCAGCTTATCTGGAGCTTGGAGCGCTGAGAATTCCACTGCAGTTGGTAAATCCAAAACCAGAAGATGGCATGATGATGTCGTTGCAACTTTATTTATCAATTTATTAACCACACTTAAAGCCCCACAAAGCATTTAATTTGGACACAGGTTTAAATATCATAGATTTTATATGTACAGTTAATCACATTAAATGCAACTGTTTCACCATATATTCATAATTGATAAAGGCACTAAATTTAAATGTCATTGTTGAGTGAGTGAATCAAAGCCAGGCCTTCTGAGTGACAAGTGAGAGAGTGAGTTGGGTTTAATGCCGCTTTTAACAGTATTCCAGTTAAATCGCAACATGTCAGCTTAATGTGGGAGGAAAGCCCAAAGTGATGCAGGTCTCAGACGTTTACCACTTCGATGAAACCCACGAGCACGGGTATGGGGATGACAAACCTATAAACATAATCAGGGCGAACCGGGATTCAAACCCTCAATCATAGTGTTCTGGCGTGCCCAGAGGACACAACTCTGCACAGCGAACCGTGGCGCCCTAGACGACTGGGCCACCCGTGCCCCCCATAATATTAAAACAAAAACAAATTTTTTTCCGAAATACTGAATCCACTAGAGGGGTTGTGCATTATACTTGGGTGCGCACTATACTCAAGAAAATATGGTATATGTGAGACTGTGCAGTCAACCCAGTGGCAGACCTGGGTGAGGGAGTGCTTGTGGTTATAACAACCATATGTCCATCCATGAACTGGTATGTGTAGATGGAATGAATAACTGAGTCTTGAATAGCCTGAAGTGATGCAGGTCTCAGACGTTTACCACTTCGGTGAAAACAATGAGCATGGGTATGGTGGTGACAAACCTAGAAACATAATCAAGGCGAACCGGGATTCAAACCCTCAACCATAGGGTTCTGGCGAACCGCAGCGCCTTAGACGACTGGGCCACCCGTGCCCCTACGCTTCTTCACTGACCCCATTTTTTATTGTACTGACAGAATGAGACTGTCAACAGATATGATGGCCATTTATATACTTACAGGCACTGTACAGTGTAAATACACTTGATAAGCCCCTTCTGCGGATCGACCAAGGTTGGACAAGCCACGGCCAACTGTCTCCTCGTCCAGGATACCATCAGGTGAAAGCTGAAAGAAGAAGCATTGTACAGTTACCCTAACAAATTTGAAAAAGATAATTGGCATAAAATTAGGATATTGTTGCACATAATAACATTTTTTATATAAACATTGCATTTCACTTGAGGATATAATTAGACTGAGTAATGGACTTAAAAAGAATAATAATTATTATTTATCAATACAAGTTTGAAAATTTTCAACGTCATTCGCAGACTTCAGATTGCCACATGAAACTGTACTGAAGTCATTGTTTAGATAAATCACAGTGTGTCAGCTAAGTTTTGGAGGAAAGCACAATGGTACCAGATAGGGCTGTTACGATTCACTTGTGTATTCGGTGAATCGAACCGTATGCATTCATGAATTGAATTCGTTATTCATGGCCACTAGAATTGAATATTAATGAATATGCAACTGCAAGCATGTGCATTTACATAAAAATACCCATAAGAACATATATGCATAGATTTCTTCAAAAGACAACACTCTTATACTATTTACTTTGACAGTATTGTGGTAACTGGTCATTGTCGCATTTGAGCAGATACTAGTACCTGGATAAGTGCAGTATATAAATGTATAATACATTAATAATAAACAAAACATGTCAAATAATTTATGTTGATATTGTTTCACTGAATATAACAAATAATACATCAGCTGCTGACTTGTTATTGTATTCGTGAATTAATATTCGTATTCATTTACCTATATTCGTGATATGAATCATATTCGCCGCATAGTGTATTCGTTGCAGCCGTAGTACCAGACAAACCATGGGTCATAAACAAGGCAAATCTTTGAGTAACCCATGATCCTGTAATCCTAGTGTAACAGTGACAAACCTTTTGAGTCCCGTAACAGGATTTGAATCTGCGGTGGAACGCCTTGTCCGCATGACCAGTGAGGTTAACCTCATCAGCAAGCTGACAAGGTAAGGATGTCATCTATGATTGTTCCGTGTCCTGCTATACTGGCATCACTATCGATTCGCGGTATTATCGTTGAGTACCCTATTTTCGAACGACGCCTATTTTCGAACAGCCGTATATGATATCAACTTGTCGTATTATTACGAGAGGTGTGATGTCATCAAAGATGGCGACTTGAGAATGCATGCGTCTGGACTGTCAACATTGTAGTCATGTGAATTACTGTACACCTGTCAGAAGATTCCATTATCATTCAGAATTTTGGTGTTCGTGTCATGATGAAGAGGAAGAGTGAAATAGTGTGACCACTCTAATTTGACAAATATTCATATTTTGTTCATCAGTTTCAAACTTTCATTTATTTTTTAAGTTTTAATGCTGAATCATGTTGAGAACTGTGTGCCAAAGCACGTCTGTTCATTCATGAAAACCCTGCTAAAGTACCAAACCAATCAGGTCTTTGAAAATAGGTGATGTCACTCGAGTGCAGCGGAAGTTTACAGACGAGACGCCTTTTATCAAGGGGTTTTTTCTTTCGAAATGTAGCTAAATTCTATTCTGGAAGACATCACCTACTGGTTTTAAGCAGAATTTGAGTTTGGATTCACTCATCTCTCGAAATATCAGCAATGCCATCTTAACTGTTCGAAAATAGTGTATGACAGGACACACATTGTAGAGTTTGTTAATAGTTCTGCACTTGTAAATCTTTCCTGTTATGTAGTTGGTGACTGTTTATGTAGTTAGTTGCTATATTCAAATGCCTTAGTATTTTTTTATATATATTTCCACTATAGATTGTCTCTGAGCAGAGGTTTTAAGATGCAGTTCATAGAATGGACTTATATACAAGAATGTTTGTTGAAGTTAGTTTTTATACGAATGTTTTTAAACATTTTGTAGATCATCCAAACAGAAAACTCCCGACAGATTTATGTATTTTATTTTCCCTGTTTCCATATTATTGAAAAAAGCAGGGATTCAACTCATAGTCGTACCTAAAAGAAATGACAGTTAGTCTGAAACACATAAAAATTACGATGAATTCTTACTTCGACATCGTCTTCGTCGTCAGTGCCCGCAGGTCCGACTCCGATATTATCGTCCATTTCATCACCAAGCGGCTCGTCTAGTTGATCTGGGTTATCGTCTAGCTTCAGAATATCTGTATCAGTGTTAATAAGATGTGATTCTCCATTGACAACAACATATTCACCATCAACATTGGAATAATATTCCGCATCGGGGATGTTGTCAGCTAGGTCCGCCATTTTGAATGCGTGTCTATGGATACCAGCAAGCCCGCACCAAATGAAATTTTATGTGCGCTTTTCTCAACCGCATCGATTCTGCTCAGTTTCACATTGAAATGGACTTACGTAGCGTTACATGGCATGAGAAACATATTAAAAATATATAGATAGAACAAGGATAGAACAAAGCCTTAATTCATTTTAATAACACACTGACCATTACAAATGGGTCGACTTTGTTGATTGTTTGGAGTAATCGAGTTGAATATAAGTTTCACAACAATTTAGGATCAAAGTTACCTTTCATTTCTCAATGAGTCGACCGCCTCCGTGGTCAAGTGGTAGAGCGTCCGCCCGGAGAGCGGAAGGTCCGGAGTTCGATCCCAGACCGCGTCATACCAAAAGACGTTAAAATATGGTACTTGTTGTTACCCTGTCTGGCGCTCGGCATTTAGGGGCTAAAACAAGGACTGGTCGGCTCGGAGTCAGTATACTGTGTCTGAGAGGGGTTTCATGTTAAACTGCGGCATGGTATCTCAGTCATCTAGTACTATAAATCGGCATCCGTCCGGACTAGTACAAGCAGTCACACAAACACACACACGTACATGCACGTCGCTATATAAGTGCAATAATCTTGGACGCGACGTTAAACCCCATTTCACCTTACCTCTCAATGAGTCAAATGTTTGAAATAGAAAATCGTTATTAAAAATTTTAAGCATTATTCCAAATATTTAAGTTATGTTTTTCCATTATCACTTATAGGAAACAACTTAAAACGTATTTAAATCATATATCCATTACATTTTGTAAATAAAATTATTCGGTTATGTTTCTAGTTTGCCAGACACCGTGGACATGTTCTATGAGTTTATCAGGAGGCCCAGTTAGAGAATAAAGTCCGACATTCGATAATCTGCAACAGTCTCAGACAGAGGGCACAGGCGTCTCGTGAACCTCAAGTCGCTCACTCGGCTCCACTCGGCTAATTTCGTCACCTATGTATTATCACTATTAGCTTGAGCCGAGCCGAGTGGCGAGTCCCACTGCAGAGTTGCATAATCCTATGATCGTGGTCCTAAACTACTTATCTGAAAAATCCATGAGATGTTAGTCCAATGTTAGACTGAGTATAATATGTGTAATTGGAGCTCAGTGGTATATAATAGACTTTTTAAATTAGTGAAATCTACGTCATGTTTAAAAAAAAATATTTTGGTATATAGATGTCACGTGTGATCGTTATATACACACTTCCAATTAATAATGTCTGAATAACATATATGAAAGGAGAGGTATAGATCTACTTGAATTCTGATCGTGCTGTACGTTTCTTGGAGCTTGAAATTATGACAAGTCACAGTCAGAAAATTGCAGTGGGAATATGCGTAGTGTGTACAAGTCTCGTATGAATATGAATTCGAGTAAAAAAAGATACTTATGAAACGTGTTTGAAGGATGGTGGACGTCCACGCTACCAATGAAAAGGGAGACAACTTCGCCCTCGGGTTTCATCGGCAGAAACATCATTCGGAATCTCATTTTGGAATCTTCGCTAACTCGGAAATCATTACTGACTGCGCTGTACCACGCAAAACGCCGAGATATTCCGAATGACAACACGCATGCTCCAAAATGGCGTCGCTCCTGTTTCGTCAGGTACTTGCCCCTAAGAATGGGCCGGGCACTTCCAAACTGTTCGTTAACATATCCAAAGAACTGCTGTATTGCAATCGGAGATCATTTTCCTTCTCCCTTGCGAGGTTTGCACAACCGGCAGGCCAGAAAAAAACATTTTCGCGAGAGAAACCTCACATAAATATTGGGACAATCGGCCATGTGGACCACGGGAAAACAACCTTGACAGCAGCGATTACAAGAGTCCTGTCCGAGGAAGCCAAAGCAGACTTGAAACGATATGAAGACATCGATAATGCCCCAGAAGAAAAGGCCAGAGGTATTACAATCAATGCAGCATTGGTGGAATACGAAACCGAGAATCGTCATTACGGTCATGTCGACTGCCCGGGGCACGCCGATTACATAAAGAACATGATCACAGGAACAGCTCAAATGGACGGCGCCATTCTTGTTGTCGCAGCCACTGACGGAACCATGCCACAAACTAGAGAACATATGTTGCTTGCTAAACAGATTGGTATACAAAAGGTTGTTGTCTTCATCAATAAGGCTGATGCTGCCGACCAGGAGATGCTGGAGCTTGTTGAAATGGAGGTACGAGAACTACTCACAGAGATGGGGTATGATGGGGACGGCACTCCTGTTGTCATTGGGTCTGCTTTATGTGCCCTAGATGGAGTTAAGCCTGAAATTGGAGCTGTGAAGATCAAAGAGCTTCTTGAAAATGTTGACAGTTACATCCCTAACCCTTCTAGGGAGCTTGAAAAACCCTTCTTTCTGCCCATAGACTCTGTGTTTTCTATTCCTGGTAGAGGAACAGTTGTTTCAGGAAAGCTTGAAAGGGGCGTCATCAAGAAGGGTGATGAGTGTGAGTTAATTGGCTTTGATAAAGTCCTGAAAACAACAGTCACTGGCATTGAGATGTTTCACAAGAACTTGGATCGTTCTGAAGCCGGAGACCAAGTTGGAGCTTTGATAAGAAGCATCAAAAGGGATGACCTGAAGAGAGGATATGTGTTAGCCAAACCAGGGACAATTAAACAACATAACAGATTTGAGTCACAAATCTACCTGTTGAGCAAAGATGAAGGAGGGCGTGCAAAACCGTTTACTGATTTCTTCCAAGCCCAAATGTTTTGTACAACATGGGATGCTCCTGCTTCATTGAAAATCCCAGACAAAGATATGGTTATGCCAGGGGAGGATGCTAAAGTCATTTTTAACCTGAAGAAAAAGATGGTTATGGAAAAGGGTCAACGCTTTACCATCAGAGATGGACGAGGAACCCTGGGATACGGTGTCGTTACAAACATCTTGCCTGATGGTGATGTTGAAGCCTATGAACAGGAGCGCGTGCTTAAGAGAAAGGAACAGAAGAAGACGAAGACAACATAGCTCCTTGTGTAGAGATATCATTATCGATCATGTTGAGAAATTTGTAGTGCATTATGTGCAGAACAGTTGTGTGCCAATTATGTGTTAAAACTTTGAGCAAAGGACCTTGGAAAAACTATTGTGCATCACTTTGTTGAAAAGATGCCATCATATGTTACAATGATAGTTTGAAGAGCTTTCTTTATATTGTGTATGAATAAGTCAACATTTCATTATTATTCCTTGATGAAAACTGTGCTAAATAAACCAGAAGTGTCTGAAAATGTGAACTGAATGTTTCATGTTATCAATTCAGTAACCATGGTAGGAAGTAATCATGGAGATGTTTTGTTGATTAAGCTGAGAAAAACTTAAATCTGTTTATACAGTTTTACTGAGTCTTCAGTGTCTACCATTATTTTGTTCATTGTGCGAATTAGGAACTAAAGTGATTGCAATGTGGATTATTGAGAAATGTAAAGGAGTCAGTTGTAGTATAAACTAAGGCCCTAATGCTGCAATTTTTACTTGAGAATCATGACAAGGATTCCAGGGCCCCATTCCACAAAGCGATCTTAGCGCCACGACTATCGTAAGCCAGTGTTAAAGTATGGGAGTTACGATCACCTTAGCGCTAAGATGGCTTTGTGGAACGGGGCCCTGGACTGTAGTGTAAAAAATGGGATCAAGGTGGCCAAGATGTCTTATGTACCACAGTTAGCTGTTCAGAGTTGCATCCCTTAGGTTTACCAGTATCCTATCTATGATTGTTTGTTTATTTATTGTTTAACGCCACTCTCGGCATATTCCAGCTATGTGAAGGCGGTCTGTAAATAATCGAGTCTGGACCAGAGAATCTGGTGATTGAGTATCGATCCACGCATTTGGGATATGATGACATGCATCAACCAAGTCAACGACCCTGACCACCTGATCCCGTTAGTCGCCTCTTACGATAAGCATGGTCGCCTGTTAAGGCAAGAATGGGTTGCTAAAGACCTATTCTACCCCGCATCTTCACGGGTCTCGTATCTATGAAAAAATGCGGGTTTGAATCCTAGATTCCCCTTGTAAGCTTTATACCTGCTGCATGTTCTATCTTTCTTTCAACATAAAGCTGGCACATGATTTTGCTGTACTGTTGTTTAAGACAGCATCTGATTCGTTCACTGTAAGGCAAGTACTCTGGGATAAGAAAAACACTAAGTTGGAGGGGGATCTGGGGGGCTATGATTTATGCATGTATTGTAATGATGTATCCAAAAGCAACCCTTGATGTAACAAAATCTGCATTATTCTGAAGATCTGTGTAAAATCCTCATGTCTGAGTCAGGGTTTGAACTAAACTCAAAAGCTGTACTATCTAGGTATAGATTATATGCCCTGAGGAAATTTATACTAGCCCACAGGAATTTGAACTATTTCCAGGCTGGTGTTAAGTTCTAACCCTGTGAGTACTTTTACGCATGGTCGTAGGTGGCAACCAGTAACAAGGAAGTACAAAGTAGTGTCATACCCTGATTGATATCTTGACCAGTGAGACTTGGTTGATGCTCATGATGTCGATCACTGGATTGTCTGGTCAAGACTCAATTATTTTACAGACCGCTGTCATATAGCTGGAATATTGATGAGTGCGGCGTTAAACAACAAACAAACAAACAATGAGTATGGTAATTCAGTGGGCAAGCAATATATAAGTACAAGCAGCCACACATGCATGCCACCATATAAGTACAACAATCTTGATTGTGGTGTTAAACAACATCCAACCTCACCCCCACCTACTGTTTGGATAAACAGGGTTCAACATGTTCAATGTGTTTCACTGACACTAATTTGCATGAATAAAATGTCTTCGATAATAATACTGAACTTAGCAAGCAAATTAAAACCAAAATACATGATTCTTTTTATTTCGATTGTACTTCCATGTATATAGCACAGTCACATATGAGATGAGGTTTAATGTGACGTCCAATATTATTGCACTTATATAGCCTGCACGTGTGTTTGTGTGTGTGTGGCTGCTTCTACTAGTACTGATACCGATTTATAGTGCTAGCTCACTGAGATACCATGCCGCAGTTTAACATGAATACACTACTCAGACACAGTATACTGGCTCCGAGCCGACCAGTCCTTGTTTCAGCCTCTTAATGTCGAGCGCCAGACAGGGTAACAACAAGTACCGTCTTTTAACATCTTTTGGTATGATGCTGCTAGGGATCCGGGCGAAGGCTTTACCACTGGACCCACGAGGCGGTCAGTTACAAATGACCAGTTGATAAATAGCTATTAGCATTAGGTTTGCTTTGTTAATTACAGATTGTCAGCCCCCTCTGCTTCACCATTTGCTCACCACCAAACCCTGCCTCACATTTGTTTTGTTTGTTTGTTATTTAATAAAAGCTGCACTCAGCAATATTCCAGCTGTATAACAGAGATCTGTAAATAATCAAGTCTGGACCAGACAATCCAGTGACTGACATCGTGAGCATGGGGTTGTGGTTGACGTTCATTCTACAGGTGCCCTATCAGGTTAAAAGGGAGGGCCAGGGGAGAACATCAACGCTGTTGTTGTGTAGACAGGCTCTTGCAACATGCATCAACCAAGTCAGCAAGCCTGACCACCCGGGTCCTATAGTCACCGCTTACGACAAGCATTGTCGGCAAGCATGGTTTGCTGAAGACCTATTCCACCCTGGATTTTCATGGCTCTTTACATGATGATATTGTCCCAGTACCTACAGAAATAGAAAATAACTGTTTCATTGGTTATTTGCTTGATGAAAGAGCATATTCCTGGACCTGCCATATACATTTATGCTTGTGTGAATCACTGTTTGTTTAACGGGGGTCCAGGTTCAGGCAAATTCACTGTCATTAACTTAATTCAACTAAGACAAAATTGTTATGGATGAGCAACTTCTTTATTACAATTGGGCGACGTTTCGGTGTAGATTCTAACACTGTTATCAAGCAAATGATGATAACATCCATAACAATTTTGTCTTAGTTACCATTCCAACTTCTAAATGCCACTTAAAGAAGTTAACTTAATTCAAGTCGTTAAAACACACTTTGTGTGTCTACTTACACAAGTTGTATGATGCATGTCACTGTGACATTTAATGATTTACCTAATTACAAAGGCAATGTCTAATTTTACACACTACCCTTATTACAATGGTCTGGACAAAGTCAAAGTTTGTTGTCTAACGCCGCACTCAGCAATATTCCAGCAATATGACGGCGGTCTGTAAATAACTGAGTCTGCACCAGACAATCCAGTGATTGACATGAACATTGATCTACGCAATTGGGATGCGATGACATGGATCAAACAAGTCAGCGAGCCTGACTACCCGATCCCGTTCGTCGCCTCTTACGAGAAGCATGTTTTGCTGAAGACCTATTCTAAGAGGGATCTTCTTGGGACGTCTGGACAAAGACTGTTGTGGGTTCTTTTATGAGGAGAAGGGTATCCCTTTGAACAAACTAAAACAGAAAATAAAATTCTTCCCTTAAATTTTCAAATTATTTGGATAAAATTTTTTTTAATAATTTATTATGGATTTCAAAGAGAGGTATGGCGCTTGCACGACATCAGAAAGGACGATGTTGCCTTTTTGGTTATCTCCCTTTGACTGCTATGGGGAATTTCGAAATGGATTATGACTCAATCTAATTAAAATCAGGTCTGAGTTCTCGCTGTCGCTGAATAAATATCTCAGCACATCCCATTACGGGTTACGTCAGAACAACCTTTCATCCGACCAATCAAAGCGTCGCTTACCAGATCATGAAAGTGACAGTCGGAAAGCGTTTTCTCATCATGCAACCTCGGAACGCGTTACACGATGTATTCCGAACGACAGTTACGGCCTGTACGACTGATTGCGTCAAAATTATCGTCTACCTCTCTCTTCCGTGGGATAAACATTTGAACGGAGGAGGCGTTGCACAGTTCGTGGGAAGCACTGCCATACAATCTCAATCATATAGTAGACATTACGGAATGTTCGTTTGTTCAGTTTTCAAAATTTTAATCGAGAACTGTGTCAACATATTTTTCAAGCGTAGTCTGAAATGGAAGTCGCCAGGTGGAAACGAGTGCCGTAAAACTCGAGAAAGCTGTTTTCTAATTGGCTGATGTCGACTTCTTGTTAGTCAAAGTTCGCGAAAGGTCGTTCTGACGTGACCCGTAATGGGATGTCCTCAGATCTTTGTTTAGCGATAGCGAGAACTTAGATCTGATTAAGTGAGAACTTAGATCTGATTTAGCGAGAACTTAGATCTGATTTAGTGAGAACTTAAATCTGATTTAGCGAGAACTTAGATCTTATTTTAATGAGATTGGAATATGACTGAACCGTCCTCAACCGAAAACGGCCGCAGATTTGCAACAAGAATCGTTTTTGCAGAGCATCAAATTCTGCCCGCATTGAGGCATTAGTATCTACTTTGTAGGTATCGGTGCAGTGAAATTGCCTATCAATGCTTTGCAGACCATTGTGACATCATTGTTACCCTGACGTCACAATCAAATGACATCACAAATGGCTCCGCTACTGATGCTGTTAGCAGTACTCTTTACAGGTAAGACGCTGCCTATTACTTTCTACAAACTTAAAAAGTTGGAAGAATGATGATGGATGATAAATAAAATCTCATCCTCATGTCTTTTGATACCATATATATCATATATATATATATATACACAGTAAAAAAAGTGTTGCACTCCCTATACTTTTTCATGGAGGGGTGTTTTGAAAGGGTGTAAAGATAACCGAATTAATATTATAACCAGGATTTCGTGTATACCAACAAACCAGTGTATTGTCTATACAATGAACTTAAATGGGGTATTCCATGACCTTATGGCATGTAATAATCTCATGCTGAACTTTTACGAAAAATGAACGAACAACGAAGACGCATTAAGTATGGTGACATCTCAATAATTTTTAGTGACCAAATTCATCCAATAGGGTAAGAATGTCATATGGAGATTTGACGAACACAGTAAGTCAATATCGAGAACTTCCACCAAGCACTTGGATGACAGCTTGAAGTCTTCGTCTCATACTCCTCACCAGACGTTGGAATCGCTCCATGGGCAGCTGCTGCCACTCCTCGTGTAATGCTGCTTCCAATTCACGCAAGTTCTGTGGAGGAGGGTCCCGACGATAAATCAGGCGTCCCAAAATGTCCCATACATGTTCCAGAGGATTCAGATCTGGACTCATTGCTGGCCATGGAATCTGCGTCAGAGCATTGTTGTGGATAACCTGGGTCACAGCTCGTGAACGATGTGGTCTGGCATTGTCATCCATGAATATCGGTCTGGTGGCCAGTGGATGATTGTCAAAATGGGGCACCACAACTGGATTCAGCACCTCTTGGATGTAGCACTCCCCTGTCAAGTTGCCTCGTATGGTCACTAAATCAAGCTTACAATCAAATGAGAAGCATCCCCAGACCATAACAGATCCACCTCCATATGGTACAGTTGGCATGATGTTTCTTGCAGTATAAGCTGTTCCAGGACGCCTCCATACTCTCACTCTGCCATCCACAACATGCAGAAGGAACCTGCTTTCGTCCGACCAGTGGACTCTTCTTCAGGACCTCAAGTTCCAGTTCTGTCTCAGTCTACACCAGGCTAGACGTAGTCGTTTGTGGTTGTCTGTGAGTTTAGGTCGCTTGATAACCCTTCTGGACTTCAACCCTGCAGCTTTAAGACGATTTCTCACGGTCTTGGTACTGAACTGTTGACGAGGAAGCCAAAGACGTTTCAAGGTTGTGCTTGTAGCAAATGGATGACGCCTTACCACCCTCAACAACGCTCTGTCATCTCTAACTGTGGTCTTACGTGGTCTGCCAGAGGGTCTGCGATTCCTTACATCATTAGTTTGTGCGTGTTTTCTGACCAAACGGCTTATTGTTGAGTAGTGATGTCCGGTTCTTCTGCCAATCTCCTTGAACGAAAGACCTGCTCCATGAAGGCCAATAATCTGCCACTTGACTGCTTCTGACAATCGTCTACCCGGCATTGTGGGTTACAATAAACTGGGCTGTCAGAGAACATCTTTTATAGGCGATGTTGAGCTTAAGAAGATACTGCAATCTGCAAATGTCATGCACCATGCAATTCACGTGCTGATTGCTACGTTTTGGTGATCATCTTCCCTCCGAAAACATTACACATTTAACATCAGATCCCCAAGGAATACCTACCATTAAAACCAGAGTCGGGCGTTTTAAATGTTGTGATGTATCAAACGTATTAATGTGGCGGTGCAACACTTTTTTTACTGTGTATATATACACACACACACACACACATCCCATATTATTGTGGCGAAGTTTCTTTTTAAATGCTGTAATTAAACGTGATCAAAAATCTATACTTGATATTTCTCAGAAATAGACTGTATCTATGAAACACATTTCACGTAAAATTTAAGATAAACAGACTGTGAACAGATTACCAGTGCATGTATTTGCCATTCCGAATTTTGAGAACAAACATGAAAACGTCACTATATGATATTTTAAACATGTTTATATGATAACATATAAAGAATAATGTGCGATATTTAGTAGGCACAATTTATTTAAAAATCACACACATTCACTCAGTAAGGTCGACCATCCAGCTTCTATTTGAGTTTTAAATGTAATTAAAATGTATTTGATCAATACGAACAACCAAGAGATGTGGTTTGTTTTTGTTTTTTTCTGTCCCATGTTGATGCTTCTGGTTATTGGGTCCTTCTCGACCCCGTAACGATTTCAGGTTACAATGGTCGACTTAATGGACAGGGTGGTCAGGCTCGGTGACTTAGTTGATAGCGTGTCATTTTACATCATCATATCAATCACTACTTTGTCTGGATTGTCTGATCCAGACGCGATTTACATGCCATCGTCACAGCTGGAATAGTCCCGAGTGCGACGCTGAACAAAAAACACGCACAAGCATTAACCCTCTTATTTAAGATCGGGCGATACCTTGGATCATTGCCCATTTTATCAATAACTTGTTTGCCCGTTTGCAATGTGTATACACATGTGGTACCTGGAATATTGCTGTCCAAGAGGGGCATTTGTGCTCTTCTTCTCGAATCCTCACTTTGAAGTCGAATTAAATTTAAAATACATCACGCACAAATATACACTAAACAGTTTTGTGAAGACGAACGCTGCGCTCGGAAAACTGCACTTTATATTTATTATTGTATTTACATATAAACTGATTAATGAATAGCCATTTCATTCTATTTTAAAAATAAAACTGAATATATTACTTCAAACAAAATGGGTAATATGTTTGTTAAATATATATGAACACATTTTAGGAAGTAATTGTCTTGGTCTTGAAATTGTTATTTATGTCGTTTTGATTAACAGAAAAGTGATGACTATTAATTCGCCAGGTGCGCGTTAGGCACAAACGATACATTTTCGAATTACTCCCTTTGTATTGTATGATATAATCATTTGGTTCATCATTTTTTACAATTTTGTCACACATGTTTACTTCATTTCTCCAAGTGACAAGTGCAAAGCGGAGTTATGCCCCCTTTTGTTTGTTTGTGTGTAACCTCTCTCTCGTCTTTTTTCCCGTATTGAATGTATAATGTTATACATAAGCAGACAGATCCATTTGATATACCATTATATTGTTTATATATTAGGCAGTATTTTGTTCGATCACAGTTTCCATAAAGCTATTAAATGACAAAAATCGTCAAATACTACTTTTATCGATGTAAGATAAAAAGTGGCGATATTTCCTGTAACTGGACGCACAATTTCGGACAACACTTAGTAATGTCTGTTTTCAAACCAGTTTGATATTTGCAGTTAATTTTACACCATCAGACAGGAAAGTTAATATTCTACATCCTTATATAAATTTATAGCCGGAGGTTGACCAAGTGTCGCGCGAGTGCAATTTCCCATCATTCTAAAATAATTATTATTAAAAATTAACATAATCTAAAATAAGCGTGAAGATGCATGGATGAGGTACAGAAAGGGTAATGTAAGAAACATGTGAACTCCAGTATCTAATGTCATTGTTCGGACACGTTGTTGGGAAAGACTGTAGACTGACATGGTTATAGACTGACACTCAATGTTTATGCATTAATTGCTTCTAGATTTCAATGTTTTCCCTGAAGGGAGCAGAAAAAACAAAACCACATAACACATTTTTGTATACATCCAGCGAAAATGTTTTTTTATTGCAAAGGCAGATCAAGCATTTTCTGAAAGAAATGATGTTTTTTTATTTTATGAAATTATGTAACATCCACCCCACCCACATACAGAATATGAAATGATCGATGTCTTAAGGTGACACTTTTGACGATTGTTTTCAGACCTGCAACCTTCGTAATTTTAGTAACAATCAAAATTAAAAATAATTAGGACATAAATTGAACAAAGAAAAACTACCTAAACACCATTTTTTAAGTCTATTAACTTGATTGTTCAGATACATGTTCCATATATAATTTATATATATATATATCCAGTGAACCCTAATGGTCTCTACAATGATCCTTGCACAAGATCCTCATTGGCTCACCCAAGTTGCAAACGCCTTGAACATTAGTCACCTAGGGATTTTATTCCATTTTAAAACTGAAACCCTGTTCAAAATTGCTTTAAATCCAAATCACTGATTCAAACTCTCGATTTCACGATAATTTTGTATGTCCCTGGACTATTAATCCCCCCCGTACTCCGTGGCTCAAAGTCGTGCTGTGTTCCTGGGGCAAGTGAAATGGTGAATACTCTCAGGATTCCAGCGAGAAAGAGGTGGATCTCGGGTTTGGCGACAGTCTCGCCGAGACAAACTCTCCTTCCGGCAGAGAACGGAAGCCAGCTTTCTGGTTTGGGTCCCATCTTTCCCTCTGAGTCTAGGAATCGTTCAGGTTTGAACGTATTGACGTCCTCCCATTGGTCAGGGTCAAAGTGCAAAGCGTCGTGGTTGATCAACACCATTGTACCCTTGGGAACATCGTATCCACCTGCAATGACAGAAGCATCAAACACGTCATCCATGATGCCGTAGTCGCTCGAGATACATGTAGCCCTAGCAAACATTTATCCACGACCCAAGAGCAGACAAGCTAGATGCCAAAATGAAACATAATAAAGTCGTAAAATGAGAGACGTATTTGATTGAAAACTTTTAAAAGAAACACAACTCATACACATCGTCAATATTAACACCCTCTTCCATTAAGAAACCTCACTGATATGAAGAAATTACTTTTCTCTGATGCTATCGTCAGTCCTATTCTTCATCAACATTAACATGTCCACTCGTCATCACTATTATAACAACCTTGCCAACAGACAAAAAAGCCTCACACTGCCATGCTCACCATACACGTGGACACGTGACACAGCCAAATGCATCGCAACTATTTAATCCAAAATCTTACTTTCATCAAATACCATGATCAATAGTATCAAGTGTTTTGTGCAACATACTGTAATACCTACCAACTGTGGTATCACGAAGGGCAGAGTGAGGAACGCCTAATGGAACCACTGTCCTCATCCTCATGACCTCGTGTATCACTGCATCTGTGTATGGCAGCCTGTCCCTGTCCGAAACGTGGACGTTCAGATCAGGATCTGTAATCATAGCAAATCCCATCATCAAGGAAACATTGACAATATTCCCATCAATGTCCCCCTGTTGGTTATAGCGTGACTGTCCCTGACATATTAATTTCCTGTTATTTGAACTTGAAAGAAATTTGTAGGCACCATGGCACCACATGTTCAGAATGTATGCACATATGGAATAATGCCATCTTCAACATTTTCTGAATCAAGAAAGGATGTGGCTGACAGCTATTTTTTTCATCCTATGTAGCGTCGGTGAATTTTCTGTGTGTATCGTATATTACACAGTTTCCTTCATCAACCCCGCTCGCCATTGGGACGAAACTGATTATACATATCTGACAGTATTTGAAGAACTCTTATACATACATCCTTTTCAGTCTCATCATGTTCTTCTGTGGTTTATTGAGCCGTACATATTCCTTTTTATATATGTAGGTATGGTGTACACTTCAGCTGTTATGTTAAATATTTCTTTCAGTATATGCATTCTTAGAATTCCAGACGTGCATTAAAATTGAATTTTCAATTAATGTCAAAACAATGTGCCAACTGTCCCGTCTGAACCTTTAATGAGTACTGTATGTTCGATGCCGTTTATCATGCCATTAAATGCCACGTTGACTCGACTCGCACGGAGCCAGCTACACTATATATTCTAAGAAACATCGTGAAAAGATATTACGCACCGATAACAGAGTCCACCTCTTTCTGAACTTTCTTTTGAATGTCAGGATGGAGAGCCATCGCCAGGAGACACCAGCGGAGAGTGCCCCTGGATGTGTCTGTACCAGCTGAAATGTTAGATAAATTAACCAAATTAAATTAATATATGGCTCTACCACAGCAATGAAAAAGGAAGCATATGTGGGTGTGATACGTTTTCTGTAACATAACGGCGAGAATTGTGTGTAACAAGAACGTGAGTCAAGACCTTCTATGACAAGATTAGTCCTACTGTAACGTGTGTTATGTCTGTTCAAAAAGACTGCTATCATCGGTGAACACTTGCTAATGTAGAAGTATCTGTGTTTGAAGGTAGTCAATTTACATTTTCATTCCCATCTATCACAAGGAGAAATCCTACTGATTCGTGAGTGGTGTCTGTTCCAGTTGTTAATTAGGAGATAAACATACTGTGTTTTCAATGTAGAGCTAGGTTACCTGTAGATTTAACCCCGCTAAATTGAATTTGGAACCGAACGCGCAGCGTGAGGTTTCAAATGTTAAATTTAGCGCGGTTAATTCTACAGGTAACCTAGCTCTACATTGAAAACACAGTATGTTTATCTCCATTCTACCATGACTAAATAAAACGCGAACTCTTTGGTGTTAGCAAATATACTGAGTGAAGCGGCATGGGTTGAGTTCAGTGTTTTGAGTGGGTTATCGATCTGAATTACGGAATCACCGAACAAAACATGATGCTGTATATACTCAAACAGTTTGTTTACACCGTAATACTTCACTCGAACATATGACAGGCATTGAAAGCATATAAGCACGGCAACTTGGTAAGCTAACATGAGGTGGGCATCCCTAAAGAAAACAAAGCAAGCTTTGCAAGGCTTTCGCTCTACATTGCGCATCACCAGTATGACGTCATATCGCTCATTGTGACGCAAAAGATATGACGTCACAGTCGTATATAGAAAAGCGCCAAAATTTCAAGCTCTCTGTTGTCTCCAAAACGTAAATACATTCCCTTTGTTGATTTCTGTCGCGTTTTTCTGCACGAAATGTATTGCCACACATCCTTTGAATATTGTAGTAACCGCATCTGTGCATTTTGTAACCTATAATTGTAGATATAGTTATTTAAATATGCCTACCGACAATGACTGAAAATAGTACTCTTCTATGAATATTAGCTTCCGCGGTGATGCGGCCATCAAACCAGCTGTTTCAACCAGAGGGGGTTTATTGTGATTTAATAGCCTCGGATTGACCAATCAGAATCGAGTAAATTCCAAATTCATGGTAGAATTAAGTATGAGCTTCTTGAAAAACCGAGAAAACAACTGAGATTAATGCATTTAGTTTGTTGATTTAGGAGAAGGAATTTTCTCCAAAAGATGAACTACATTGCCAATTTCCTTGTTAATATGATAAAAATATTGCGTTATAACCAGGGAATTGGAACGTTTGTTCTGCTACCCCCTAACAACATTGGATTTGGCCTTACAATGGGGTGGCATTATAACAGGGAATCTTGCACTGCGGAAATCCGTTCTGAAACGGCATTATATCCAGGGTCAGTATAACCATGTATTACTGTACATATAAAGAGGTCGGAACCATGGACTTATCTTCACATGGTGTTGCCATATATGGTGTATGCCATGTTCTCAGCCAGTAACCATTGTGTTTTGATGGTTATAATCCCATTTACTATTTGCTGTAGTAACATGACTAAATAAACTTTCCTTGTTTGCTAACGTCTCACTCTTGCACAAACTCGATGACTCACCGAAAACTAAGTCAAAGATTGTCATGACCATGTGTGTGTTGGTAATCTGTGACATGAGGATCGGGTCATCCCCTTCTTCTGCTTCTTGCTGAGCCAGTATCAAAGCATCTGTGAAGTCCCGCATCTCACCTGTAATAGTTCCAGCAATCAGTCAGCCTGTGACTTAATCTATATTCGAGTTAGTGTACTGTTTCTGGAAATCATTATGCAACAGCCAACAATGTCCGCAGATTATGCTTTTGAATGGCGTTTCTATTCAATTATAAACATGACCAGTCATCTGGGAATTGACTGAACATATCTATTGATAATCCCTGGTCTCAACTAAAATGCAATAATGATGTCCATGTGTATTTGTTCTGTTTTCATCAAATTCAACATCTTGTTGTGCAAAAATGTTTATAATGGTGTTCCGGGATGACTCGGTATTGGCTATTATATAATTGTAGTATTATGGAACCGACACTCTTAGATGTACTTACCTTGGTTGAACGTTTTTCTGTGGGCTGCGATTTCTTTCTTGATTGCATCTGTCATTTGAGCAGCGAGTCGTATGACACGCCTGAATCTAGGTGTTGGGCACAGATGAAGCAGGGGAATGGCATCTTCTAGAAAACCGTCTCCAAACTCTTTCGTCATGTTGTCTATGCCGACGACGTACTCTTTATAGTGTTCAGAGTCTGTAGTTTGGCTAGAATTTAATAGAAATCTGGATGAGGTTGCCGCTTTGAATGGTATTTCAGTTGACAGCGTGATGATATGTAGGTTTTTGAAATAACCGCCTTGATGAAACCTACGAGCATGTGTATGGTGCTGAGAACCTTAGCAAAATACTCTTTTAAACAACGATCATAGGTATCTGGCACGTCTAAGGGACGCAAATCTGCGCAGCGCATTGCGTGCCTTGCGTGACTGAATAGAATATCAAGTCATTCATGTCAAAACGACAAAGCCCAAGGGTTATTCTGTCATATCAAATGACCTAAAATGATGTTCCATAATGTACTTTACTGACGTAAAAAGATAAGTGAACACATGAATGTATTGCAGAGGAGAGTTGATTGGCGTGTTCAGTAAAACCAATTAATTTATATAAATGAGGGAAAGTTAAGGAATTGTCCTGTTTACTGAATCACGAAGAATTCTCTGGAGTGTCTTTGAGACACATTTAACATTTTCAAAGAAATGACCAAAGAACAGACTGTGTAAGGTAGAGAACTATCTCGCATCGGTATCGACCTATCCATATTCTCATAGTAAAAGTTGAAACAAAACAAGTACACGGAAATGAAAAGGTTATGTTCTGACTGAAGTTTCAAATATCACAAACAACAATGTTACTTTTTGTATAAAAACATGCACATTTTAAAAACACAGCAAATATAATTACCTGGTTTTATTGAACAACATTCCTGTCATCATGTTGGAGATCCCGAGTGAAAGGTAGGGGAATGGATCAAAGGCACCTGGTTCCTTACTCATCAGCTTTGTAGAGGTTTTGAGAGATTGCGACACTTTCAAGCTGAGTTTCTCTCCCATTAGATAGTGCCTAATACATAAATTAAATATTACTTTACAAAAAAACTATATTAATTTCTTTTTTAATTGAGCTCAAAAAGATTTTTCATTTACCAAAACTGATTCTCTGGACCATGGTCCCAGTATTGAATGATAGTGTTCTAGCTCATATAAAATCAGTTTAACACACTTTTAACATTTTACAGAATATATTATTTATTCAAACATGCATACTTTTATGTGTTTTTTAAATTTTCCTTTGGGATGACTACAAATATTTCAGTTTTTGTATAACTTCTAAACAGAATATACCGTTGTTAGTAAATTACAAATAAGTTTGTAGAAAGGTATCTTATTTGGCAACTTGACTCTTAACGATCCCACGTAAATTTTACATAATAGGTCATATTTTACCTGAGTGCTTTGGATGCAATTTTCCTGTGCATCTTCCACGTGGGGCCGTACGATGCTTGGACTATGTCTTTTCCTCCCTCGGTTAATGTTGTTGCTATGACACACACAGAGTGTTAATTGACTAAATATGTGCACAGTTAATGCTTGACAATATTTATAGAATAGCAAAAACATTTCCTTGCTTTACACAACTACCACTCATGATAAATTGAAAGAGGAATCCCATTCTCTAACGAGTAGGGGTCTTTAAACCTGACGTTGTTTCACTTTTTAAAGGGTATGGTCAATTACTGAAGACTACAAATAACTCTTGATAGAAATATTTAGATACTCATTTGTGTGAGGTGTTGGATTTCCTGATTTACAATATCTTTGTCATTTTGTGAGGTATCGCTTCGAAAACAATGAAACCAATAAAACAAGCAGGAAGCACATAATAATTAGGAAATAAACCTAAAACAATGAAATCAATATAACAAGCACGAAGCACATAATAATTAGGAAATAAACCTAAAACAATGAAATCAATATAACAAGCAGGAAGCACATAATAATTAGGAAGTAAACCTAAAACAATGAAATCAATAAAACAAGCACGAAGCACATAATAATTAGGAAATAAACCTAAAACAATGAAATCAATGTAGTTCCACTGTAGCTTAGACACATTCTATTTTGATTTGAAACCCAGCACTTTAGGGTGAGGTTTCAAATGATTATTGATTGAGATTTACTTTCACTGATTTCAAAGTCTCTTTCGTTAATATTCAATTGTAATGTACTGGTCTCTCAAATATCTCAATTTTAAAGTTCCATATTAGGATGCGAATAAAAGTTGTAATGTTTTGGTTTTAAGTATGTTTGTGGACACCTTTTGAATTGAATAACATCTTACCAACAAATGTATCGGGCCTTCCTGCTAAGTCCGCTTGCCGTGTAAGGAGGGCTTCCGTTACAACATCGATTCGACTCAGAACAATTGCAGGTCGATTGCCTGTAAAATCATTATGTCCACTTCTATATTTAAAAATGAAACTATATCTCTTCTTTTCGGAAAATAGATATGCATATATGTTTTAACTATGGGGGACAGTGTTACTGATCGAATACTCGTAGGAAACTACCCAATGCACACAACCCAAATCAAGAATGATGATCACAGGAGTCCACTATACGACTGTACTATATCAGAAGCACGTGTATATGAATCACTATCAAGTAGTGTTTTTTTCGAAAAGATGAGCTTGTCCTGCCCCACCGGTGACACCCGTCTCAAACACATGCAGTCAAAAGACAAGGAAATTGTTCACCTGAAAAAATCACACAGTACAAGACAAAATAGGAAATTGCATTAGATTTAATATTGGCCACTGATGCCCTAAACTTAGAAATGTCCTCGGCGCACATCGGCTGCAGTGTGAATAAGGCAACCTTACCCATCTGAATCTTCATAACTGGACCATACGTTTTGCTCCAATCACGGAATTTTCGGAACAGGAGACCTCCTCGTATGGCTGGAGAAAATAAGAACCATCCAAATGTGAATTGGTGTAAAATGTGGCTCAACGTCGTGTTCACGATTACTGCACTTCCATAAGGACGCACATGGCACAAAGTTCAGTGACATGACCTTCATTTGTAGACATTGTAAATTGATGAATTATTTTATATTTTGAATGACCTGTTTGAGTTGCGTCTCTCCTTCAGGATGTCAGAATTGAAATCATAATCTTTGTTTTGATATGACATGAAAGGCAAAATGTGTTTTGGTATTTTAGCACTAAAATTCGTTTTTATTAACGAGATCGGTTATCATGGGTATTTTTCTTAAATTATGGTATATCATTAACAACAAATGAGTTTTAATATCAAATAAAACATAGAATCACTGGGGTTAGATGTGAATATTTAATCTTCATGGTTCGCCGAGATCTCAACTTGTGAACAAGTATAATAAAATGGTGGTAGATACAGGGTAGTAGTTAGAGGGTGGTAGATACAGGGTAGTAGTTAGAGGGTGGTAGATACAGGGTAGTAGTTACAGGGTGGTAGATACAGAGTAGTAGTTACAGGGCGGTAGTTACAGGGTGGTAGACAGGGTAGTAGTTACAGGGTAGTAGTTACGGTGTGGTAGTTACAAGGAAGTAGTTAGAGGGTTGTAGATACAGGCTAGTAGTTACATGGTGGTAGATACAGGGTAGTAGTTACAGGGTGGTAGACACAGGATGGTAGATACAGGGTAGTAGTTATAGTGTGGAAGATACAGGGTAGTAGCTACAGGGTGTTAGATACAGGGTAGTAGTTACAGGGTGGTAGACACAGGGTAGTAATAACAGGGTGGTAGACACAGGATGGTAGATACAAGGTAGTAGTTAAAGGGTGGAAGATACAGGGTAGTAGTTACAGGATGGTAGATACAGGGTAGTAGTTACAGGGTGGTAGATACAGGGTAGTAGCTACAGGGCGGTAGACACAGGGAATTTGTTACAGGGTAGTAGTTACAGGGTGGTAGTTACAGGTTAGTAGTTACAGGGTAGTAGTGACAGTGTAGTAGTTACAGAGTGGTAGATACAGGGTAGTAGTTAGAGGGTGGTAGATACAGGGTAGTAGTTACAGGGTGGTAGATGCAGGGTGGTAGTTACAGGGTAGTAGTTACAGGGTGGTAGATGCAGGGTAGTAGTTACAGGGTGGTAGATACAGGGTGGTAGTTTCAGGGTGGTAGTTACATGGTAGTAGTTTCAGGGTGGTAGATGCAGGGTAGTAGTTAGAGGGTGGTAGATACAGGGTAGTAGTTAGAGGGTGGTAGATACAGGGTAGTAGTTAGAGGGTAGTAGTTACAGGGTGGTAGATACAGGGTAGTAGTTACAGGGCGGTAGACACAGGGAATTTGTTACAGGGTAGTAGTTACAGGGTGGTAGTTACAGGTTAGTAGTTACAGGGTAGTAGTGAAAGTGTAGTAGTTACAGAGTGGTAGATACAGGGTAGTAGTTACAGGGTAGTAGTTACAGGGTGGTAGATGCAGGGTAGTAGTTACAGGGTGGTAGATACAGGGTGGTAGTTTCAGGGTGGTAGTTACATGGTAGTAGTTTCAGGGTGGTAGATGCAGGGTAGTAGTTAGAGGGTGGTAGATACAGGGTAGTAGTTAGAGGTGGTAGTTACAGGGTAGTAGTTACAGGGTGGTAGACACAGGGTAGTAGTTAGAGCGTGGTAGATACAGGGTAGTAGTTACAGGGTGGTAGATACAGGGTAGTAGTTACAGGGTGGTAGATACAGGGTAGTAGTTACAGGGTGGTAGACACAGGGTAGTAGTTACAGGGTGGAAGATACAGGGTAGTAGTTACAGAATGGTAGATACAGGGTAGTAATGACAGGGTAGGAGATACAGGGTAGTAGTAAAAGGGTACTGTTTCAGGGTAGTAGATACAGGGTAGTAGTTTCAGGGTAGTAGTTACAAGGTGGTAGTTTCAGGGTAGTAGTTACAGGGTAGTAGTTTCAGGGTAGAAGTTACAGGGTAGTAGTTTCAGGATAGTAGTTACAGGCTGGTAGATGCAAGGTAGTAGTTACAGGGTGGTGGTTTCAGGGTAGTGGTTACAGGGTAGTAGTTACAGGGTAGTAGTTGCAGGGTAGTAGTTACAGGGTGGTAGATGCAGGGTAGTAGTTACAGGGTGGTAGATACAGGGCGGTAGTTTCAGGGTGGTAGTTACAGGGTAGTAGATACAGGGTAGTAGATACAGGGTAGTAGTTACAGGATGGTATATACAGGGTAATAGTAACAGGGTGGTAGATACAAGGTAGTAGTTACAGAGTGGTACATACAGGGTAGTAGTTAGAGGGTGGTAGATGCAGGGTAGTAGTTACAGGGTGGTAGATACGAGATAGTAGTGACAGGGTGGTAGATACAGGGTAGTAATTGCAGTGTGGTAGATACAGGGTAGTAGGTACAGAGTGGTAGATACAGGGGAGTAATTACAGGGTAGTAGTTACAGGGTGGTAGATACAGGGTAGTAGTTACAGGGTGGTAGATACAGGGTAGTAGTTACAGGGTAGTAGTTACAGGGTGGTAGATACAGGGGAGTAATTACAGGGTAGTAGTTACAGGGTGGTAGATACAGGGTGGTAGATACAGGGTGGTAGTTACAGAGTGGTAGATACAGGGTAGTAGGTACAGAGTGGTAGATACAGGGGAGTAATTACAGGGTAGTAGTTACAGGGTGGTAGATACAGGGTGGTAGATACAGGGTAGTAGTTACAGGGTAGTAATTTTAAGGGTGGTAGTTACAGGGTGGTAGATACAGGGTGGTAGTTACAGAGTGGTAGATACAGGGTAGTAGTTACAGGGTGGTAGATACAGGGTAGTAAATACAGGGATAACTTTACAGCGTTGTAGTAAAAGGCACATATGAATTTGTGATTTTGTGATTTTGACTGATAGTTGTTACACGGTATATGCTGCAGGGTTGTAGTTAGAAGTTTGTAATTACAGGAATTTAGTTACATGGTTGTAGTTATAGGGTTGTAGTTTCAGGGTGGTAGTTAAATTGAAGTAGTTACATGGTAGTGGTAAAACGGCTGTAGTTGCAGGGTAATGATTACAGGGTAGTATAGCTAAAATGGCTTAGAATTATCATTAAACCGCCTGCGTTTTATTAGAAATGAGCGGGCCACTGTCACTTGATAATGCCCTCATATTAGTTACCCATAAATAGCATTACCCTTATAGTATACTGAAGCGCAAAAGAAACGTCACCATGGATAGATATATGAGAAACCATATTTGTCCAAACACTGTAAACATACTTTGAGACATACTAAAAAGATGAAACTTGGCAAAACTGATCGTCAAGGTTGAAATTAAAGTGTCAAATGTTTTTAAAGTGAAACACAACACTAGCCTCTGAGAAAATGGCATCACAATTCAGTATCTCGTGTGTCCGCCATGTACATTGATGACTGCCATGCAACGTCGATACATGGAATTGATGGGGCGATAATGAAGGTCATAGGCAGTTGTCGACCTTGGTCGGACGTCATTCAGCCGTATTTGAGTCCCACAAGTGCTCAATGGAGGCAGGTCACTGCATGGCTCTGATGCTATTCTGCTGGAGGAAGTCTCTTATTGCTCTCGCAGTGTCAAATGAGGTATGGCGTTTGGTCTCAAGACTTGATCAATGTACCGAGCTTCTGTGACAACATTGCCTCTCCCTGGGCCGATGTTCTGGAAGACCACAGGGCCGACCGACACCATGATGCCCGGACCACTCCACGAGTTTCAACAACACAAGCATCTGAATAACGTTGCCCGTGGCGGCGTCAGACTCTCCCTCTGCCATCTGCTGTTGGGATACAGTAACGGTTCTCGTCTGAGAAGAGGACTCTTTTCCACTGCTAGTGGCGCCAGTGCTGATGAGGTGTTGCCACTGAAGATGGTCCCGGCGATGACGTGGTGTCAGAATTGGTCCTCGGTGTGCCCTGTGACAGTGGAGGTGTCTGCTCGTCAATCGTCGACGCACGGTGTCCCCACTAATGTGTCGCTGCTGTATCCCCATGGACTGTCGAGCAGTGTCGATGCTGTCGCTCAATCTGACGATCCTGACGTCGGGTGGTGACCCTTGGTCTTCCACTACGTGGTCGGTCATCTGTAGTGTTGGTGGTCTTGTACCGATGCTGGAGCCTGTATATGGTCCTTACGTTGGCTTGAAATGCATTGGCGACTTGCCGGGCGGTTTGTCCAGCTTGCAATCGTCCAAGGGCTTGATTTCTTGTCAATCTAGGTATGTGGTAGCAATTCAATAACGAATAAATGTTATCCGATCGGGGCGGATTTTTATAGGGCAAGAAATGGGAGAACGCATGTGCATTTTTCAATTTGCACGGAACTCACGTGCATCGGATTACCAGGGCCGTTGCCGTGATGCGTTTGGGCGATCGGTTTTATTTTCATCTTCTCTGCATCTCAACTTTGACAAAAATTACCCAGATATTTAAATGACAGCTTTTTATGAAATGTTACTTGGGGTGACGTTTCTTTTGCGGTTCAGTTAAGTTAATGGAATTAGTTACAGAGCGGTAGTCAGTGGAAGTAGTTATAGGGTAGTTGTTACAAGGTTGTAGCTTCAGGGTAGTTACAGGGCTAGATTCATACACTCGAGTAGTTAAAGGATTTTTGTTACAGGGTATTAGCTGCTGGGTTGTAGTTTTAGGTTTGTAATCACAGGATTTATTTAGGGGTTGTAGTTATAGGGTAGTTGTTCCAAAGCAGTAGTTACGGAGTTGTAATTACAGGGTGGTAGTTAATGGATTTAGTTACAGGGTAGTGGTTACACGGTTGTAGTTGTAGTTGCAGGGTAGTAATTACAGGGTGGTAGTTACAAGGTAATAATTACAGGGCGGTAGTTATAAGGTAATAATTACAGGTAGTTACAGGATTGTAGTTGCAGGGTAAATATTACAGGGCGGTAGTTACGGGGTTTGGAGTTACAAGTTAATAATTACAGGGCGGTAGTTAAAGGTAATAATGACAGGTAGTTACAGGATTTTATTTGCAGGGTAGTAATTGCAGGGTGGTAGTTACGGGGTTGTAGTTACAAGGTAATAATTACAGGTAGTTACAGGATTGTAGTTGCAGGGTAGTAATCACAGGGTGGTAGTTACAGGGTGGTAGTTACAAGTTAATAATTACATATAGGAAATAGTTACAGCGTTGTAGTAAGAGGCATATATCGATTTGTGATTTGTGATTATTTCAGTAAGATTTTTCGCTGGCTATCTTTGCGATTACGTGGTTATCCAATCAAATATATGTACATCGATATCAACTTTGCAGGATAGAACATATATAATTGGATTAAAATGAAAGATATAACATGGTGATTATTAACAATTTATGTGTTTAATTTAATAACGTCAAGATCTCTAAAGTACCAACTTTAAACCTTTAACGTAATAGACATATTGAGAAACAAATTATGATTCACGTCACTCATTGGGTATGGATAAATACATGACTTACGTGATTAATTCAAACAGATAATAAATAAATATAAGAGTCAATTACCTAAAAGGTTTCCTATTAATGGCCATCCTGTGGGTCCGGGCGGCAAGTTGTATCGTTTCTTGAAGAGGTTATAGGCGATCACACCAATCACAGCCCCAACAACAAGAGCCTGGGTTACCACAGACTGTGGCCACAACTGCATTAAACACTCAAACATCGTCCCTGCTTAGAATATCCTGAAACAGAGTCAAGTGTTTAGTGATAACATGCTTTAATTATAAGAAACATACATGGTACAGTGTACGATTCCGACTGTATTGTACCATGTGTTTATAAACACACGCGGTTTTAAATAACATAGGAAATGGAACTGTTCCAGAGTTCACTTTGTGTTCAAAAACCAGGGCACACTCACGCAAGGCGATCTTAGCTATCTTGGCAGTGATTAATGTAATCCAGTTTCCAGCCGTTAGTTCTATATCTTACCTAACTCAATCTGTGTCTTTTTGAGCTGAGAATATTCTCTATTTTAGAGTACCGCATACTCCCAGCGGTAATGTTTTGGGAAAATGTTCCCTAGCTGCTGTAGTTTCTAAACCCAACAAATCAATGGTGGCTATTCAAGACACGTAGGATGTGTTCAGCACATGACCAAATACCTACCTTGTTGTGTACGTAGCAGTGAATAGACTGAACGAGCTGAAGTGTATGTGACTTTATACGAGAGGTAGGTATTGTGCAATACCGACGTCTGCTTGCTCCATGCACTGTATAGTGACCTGAATGTTATCGCTGGGGAACACGGAGTTGTATGACCTACATTTGCACAAATGTCCCCGGCCTGTGATATTGAATACCTTGTCCAGCGAACCAAAAACAATTTTGAGGGGAGCACAGACCACATAGTAGTAGGCTCACCAGAGCATGATATTTCCCTAGCGAAGAAGCCGTTGCCCTATTTACGCCGCAGCTAAGCATGTTTTGGGGGCAATGCTTAAAATAAACGTGGTCATTACGGGTAGAATATAGTACCAATAATAGCACCCGACTCTATGACAGTAGTTACAGTGTGTGTCTGGCTGATCCAAGGTAGTTTTACAATCGAGTGGTGGTTTCAAAGTAGACACATTTTATGAAAAAAACCTCCTTTAATTAATGTTAAAGGCGACGTTTCGGTATAGATCCTTATACCGGTGTATAGTCTTGCTTGACAGCGGTATAAGTGAATGAGTGAGTATGGTTTTACGCCGCTTTTAGCACTATTGCAGCATATCACGGCGGGGGACACCAGCAATGGGCTTCACACATTGTACCCATGTCGGGAATCGAACCCGGGTCTTCGGCGACAACGGTATAAGGATCTATACCAACACGTCAGTAATTAAAGAAGTTGTTATCCATACTTTGTGTCTTCTTTGTCACCCGTCAACTTCTAAGTAATGCATCTCAAACAATTCAAGTACTGGTTTGTCAGCATTTGCAGAGACTGAAAAAGCTGCCGTGAATTGTTTCAAAATTTCTGACTGACGTAAAACAACATTCACTCAGACACTCTCCCGTTCTCTGGGAACTCTTTGCACAGATGAGTTATGAATGGTTTTTGAGATTTTAGAGCTGGGGTATATAATGCTTTATTTTATAGAGTTGAAGGTTGAGAGTATTGGTTGTATTGGTCGTGTTCCTTTCGGTAAGTGAATATGTTTGGTATTCTAGTACTCACTAGCCTGTAACTATCACTCTGTAGACCCGTGAAGATCCGGCGTAGAATAGGTCTTCAGCAACCCATGCTAGCCGTAAAAGGTGGACCCGTGAAGACCCGGGGTAGAATAGGTCTTCAGCAACCCATGCTTGCCGTAAAAGGTGGACTCGTGAAGATCCGGGGTAGAATAGGTCTTCAGCAACCCATGCTTGCCGTAAAAGCTGGACCCGTGAAGACCCGGGGTAGAATAGGTCTTCAGCAACCCATACTTGCTGTAAAAGGCGACTGTGCTTGTCGTAAGAGGCGACTAACGGGATCGGGTGGTTAGGCACGCTGACTTGGTTGATGCATGTCATCGATCCCAATTCCGTGGATCGATGCTCAATATGTAAATCACTGGATTGTCTGGTCCAGACTTGATTATTTACAGACTGCCGTCATATGGCTTGAATAATGCTGAGTGCGGCGTAAAACAACAAACCATCCAACCCAACACTCTGTATGAATACATCCTTGTAGCCACTGTCCTGTAACAGCTTAAATGTAACTTCTATCATTTAATTAATACCCTGTAACTTCTCCCCTGTAGCTACCCCCTTGCAGCTGCGACTATTTAAGTATCAACCTGTAACTACAAACCTGTGACTACTACACTGTAACCCTATCCCTGAAACTGCAACACTGTAACTGCAGAACTGAAACTGCGACCCGGTAACGACATTCGGTAATTACGACACTGTAACTATCATTACGTAACTACTACCCTGTACCTGCGACCCTGTTACTACTATCCTTTAACTGTAACCCTGTACCTGCGACCCTGTTACTACTATCCTTTAACTGTAACCCTGTACCTGCGACCCTGTTACTACTATCCTTTAACTGTAACCCTGTACCTGCGACCCTGTTACTACTATCCTTTAACTGTAACCCTGTACCTGCGACCCTGTTACTACTATCCTTTAACTGTAACCCTGTACCTGCGACCCTGTTACTACTATCCTTTAACTGTAACCCTGTGCCCGCGACCCTGTTCCTACTATCCTTTAACTGTAACCCTGTGCCCGCGACCCTGTTCCTACTATCCTTTAACTGTAACCCTGTGCCCGCGACCTTGTTCCTACTATCCTTTAACTGTAACCCTGTGCCCGCGACCCTGTTCCTACTATCCTTTAACTGTAACCCTGTACCTGCGACCTTGTTACTACTATCCTTTAACTGTAACCCTGTACCTGCGACCTTGTTCCTACTATCCTTTAACTGTAACCCTGTACCTGCGACCTTGTTACTATTATCCTTTAAGTATATATAAACCTGTACCTGCGACCCTGTTACTACTATCCTTTAACTGTAACCCTGTACCTGCGACCTTGTTACTACTATCCTTTAACTATAACCCTGTACCCACGACCCTGTTACTACTATCCTTTAACTGTAACCCTGTACCCGCGACCCTGTTACTACTATCCTTTAACTGTCACCCTGTACCTGCGACCCTGTTACTACTATCCTTTAACTGTAACCCTGTACCTGCGACCTTGTTACTATTATCCTTTAACTGTAACCCTGTACCTGCGACCTTGTTACTACTATCCTTTAACTATTACCCTGTACCTGCGACCCTGTTACTACTATCCTTTAACTATTACCCTGTACCTGCGACCCTGTTACTACTATCCTTTAACTGTAACCCTGTACCTGCGACCTTGTTACTACTATCCTTTAACTGTCACACTGTACCTGCGACCTTGTTACTACTATCCTTTAACTATAACCCTGTACCTGCGACCTTGTTACTACTGTTCTTTAACTATAACCCTGTACCTGCGACCTTGTTACTACTGTTCTTCAACTATAACCCTGTACCTGCGACCTTGTTACTACTGTTCTTTAACTATAACCCTGTACCTGCGACCTTGTTACTACTATCCTTTAACTGTAACCCTGTGCCCGCGGCCCTGTTACTACTGTTCTTTAACTGTAACCCTGTACCTGCGACCCTGTTACTACTATCCTTTAACTGTAACCCTGTACCTGCGACCTTGTTACTACTGTTCTTTAACTGTAACCCTGTACCTGCGACCTTGTTACTACTGTTCTTTAACTATAACCCTGTACCTGCGACCTTGTTACTACTATCCTTTAACTGTAACCCTGTACCTGCGACCTTGTTACTACTGTTCTTTAACTGTAACCCTGTACCTGCGACCTTGTTACTACTGTTCTTTAACAGTAACCCTGTACCTGCGACCCTGTTACTACTGTTCTTTAACTATAACCCTGTACCTGCGACCTTGTTACTACTGTTCTTTAACTGTAACCCTGTACCTGCGACCTTGTTTCTACTATCCTTTAACTGTAACCCTGTACCTGCGACCTTGTTACTATTATCCTTTAACTGTAACCCTGTACCTGCGACCTTGTTACTACTATCCTTTAACTACAACCCTGTTCCTGCGACCTTGTTACTACTATCCTTTAACTGTAACCCTGTACCTGCGACCCTGTTACAACTATCCTTTAACTGTAACCCTGTACCTGCGACCCTGTTACTATTATCCTTTAACTGTAACCCTGTACCTGCGACCTTGTTACTACTATCCTTTAACTACAACCCTGTACCTGCGACCTTGTTACTACTATCCTTTAACTGTAACCCTGTACCTGCGACCCTGCTACTACTATCCTTTAACTATAACCCTGTACCTGCGACCTTGTTACTATTATCCTTTAACTGTAACCCTGTACCTGCGACCTTGTTACTACTATCCTTTAACTACAACCCTGTACCTGCGACCTTGTTACTACTATCCTTTAACTGTCACACTGTACCTGCGACCTTGTTACTACTATCCTTTAACTGTAACCCTGTACCTGCGACCCTGTTACTACTATCCTTTAACTGTAACCCTGTACCTGCGACCTTGTGTCTACTCCCCGTTAACTACACCCTGTACCTGCGACACTGTTACTACTATCCTTTAACTATTACCCTGTACCTGCGACCTTGTTACTACTATCCTTTAACTGTAACCCTGTACCTGCGACCCTGTTACCACTATCCTTTAACTGTAACCCTGTACCTGCGACCTTGTTACTACTATCCTTTAACTGTAACCCTGTACCTGCGACCTTGTTACTGCTATCCTTTAACTGTAACCCTGTACCTGCGACCCTGTTACTACTATCCTTTAACTGTAACCCAGTACCTGCGACCTTGTTACTACTACCCTTTAACTGTAACCCTGTACCTGCGACCCTGTTACTACTATCCTTTAACTGTAACCCTGTACCTGCGACCCTGTTACTACTATCCTTTAACTGTAACCCTGTACCTGCGACCTTGTTACTACTATCCTTTAACTGTAACCCTGTACCTGCGACCCTGTTACTACTATCCTTTAACTGTAACCCTGTACCTGCGACCCTGTTACTACTATCCTTTAACTGTAACCCTGTACCTGCGACCTTGTTACTACTATCCTTTAACTGTAACCCTGTACCTGCGACCCTGTTACTACTATCCTTTAACTGTAACCCTGTACCTGCGACCCTGTTACTACTATCCTTTAACTGTAACCCTGTACCTGCGACCTTGTTACTACTATCCTTTAACTGTAACCCTGTACCTGCGACCTTGTTACTACTATCCTTTAACTGTAACCCTGTACCTGCGACATGTAACGTCATCCCGTAACTACGTCACTATCACTACTTCCCTGTACGTGTTACTGTGTAACTACAACCCTGTAACTACCACTCTGTAACTATCACTTTATAACTGTGCCCTGTAACTGTATAGTGTAACTTCGCCTCCGTAAATACTGCCCTGTACCTCAAACATTGTAACTAGGGCTCTGTGACTACACCCCTCTAACTACTACCCTGTACCTGCGACCCTGTAAAGTACCACATGTAACTACTAGCATGTAGTTGCAACCCTGTGATTAGGGGGTGGGGGGGGGGGGAGGGTTATGACGTGGTTAGGTGGCGAGCGGTCGGATCTGGCTGGTTTAACAGGTTTCTTGAATTAGTGTATGGATAACTGGGGTTTTAGGCGCGGACGTCGGAGAGTACGACGCGTGTTGGAAATTTGGATCCCGATCCGAAAGTTCAGGGAGATTGTTTACTAGGGCGAGGTAGTTTGGTATAGTTTTGTTTGGGAGATTCTAAATTCTTTCTTCAGCAAT